ACAGCTTGGAAAAACAAATAACTCGCTGGAGAAGATCCAAGAATCTCACAAGAAAGCAATGACAAAACATTCTCAAATTTACTACATTTTAAGAAGGGAAAATAATTTGTCTTGGCTCAGAAATTGGTTTTGGCTTAGATACATTTAACTTATCTTATTTTTGAAATAATTTTTTCTCTAAAACTTAAAGATGGAGGCGTTAAGAATCCCCGAAAATCTACTATTATTTAAAGCGTAGGAAAAAAGAAATCTAACATCACAAGAAGAAGATTCATCGAAATGTCTAGAACTGGGTTTGAACGTTTGCATATTTTCATCATTAGGGAACCCAAAAAGCATCAAATCGCACGGAAAATGTTTTGTGTCACAGAACGCCGCATTTTGATGGAAAATAATTAATCCGAACCACAAAAAAGCACTGAAATTCTACGAAGATCGACAAAACAGAACACAAACAATGACATTTGGTTAGGAATCCCTCCAAATCAAGCTCCGCGCGACGTCAGTGACGTAACCCGTTGGCTCCGCGTACATGCGCAATGTATCTTTGTTGTATCATGAATACGAGCGAGTTTCAGTTTGGCTCTGAAGAAATCAACAGGATTATTGGCGAAATTTCGTTTTAACCCGTATTATCCAAATTATTTATTTTGTTGCACTTAAGAATACATTACATGTGTCAAAAAAAAATCGAAACATACAAAAAATACTGGTGCGTAAACGAACCACTGAGAAAAAACATTAAATAATGTTCTGGGGCGCATAAATGTACAAAAGAAAGTTCAAATTCGACAGAAAACAAATAGAACCTGATTTGGTACAAAAAAACGCATAATATTTTATGGTGCGTTCATCCCTTCTTCGTCAGTCAAAGTATCCACGTCGGGTGGAATATAGACCGCGTCAATATGTTCCGTAATTATTTTTTCACGTTATTTTTAGCATAAATTTACGAGGAATGGATTGCTACAATACATAAGAATACGTAAATCCAAATAATACTTACGACTTTCATTGTTGTGGATGAGGACAATCCATCACGATCTCCTCCGTGGCTGCCTCTAATTCCTTTTGAGTCAAATACCTCGGAAATGCCATATTCTACATTCTATAGACTGAACAAAAATGGCAATACAAATCCAAAATATGTTTTCTTACTATTTTGGATTTACTTGAAGATGCGATACAAGTTTATGTACCGCTTTTGTTAAATTAGCCACTTTTACTCTTTCATATCCTTTAGTAGCGATAATAATAAAATTTCTAAACAAAACAAACAAACAAAAAATCATAGAATAGGTAGGGCATTAACGCACCACTGGGATAAAACGAGTTAATATTTGTTATTTCTCTTTCTTTTCTTTTTTTTTTGCCTACTGTCATAGTATAGCATTAAATAAAAAAAAATTATCTCTGCGGTCACTGAACACCCTGTACAAATCGATTACGAGTGACAATTTAATCGACGCCAATTATCGGTTAACGACGACGCATTTCTCGGTCGGCAACAGGCCCGCGGCCATTTTTAAATATAAATCGACAACGTGTCTCTCTCTCCGTGCAAGAAGAGATAACTTGCGATATCGACACTTTGACATTGACCGCTTGATCGAGTCCAGACCGGAAGGTTATCTGCTTTTGCGGCCAAACGAGGCGGAAATATGGCGGCCGAAGGTTTCGATGAATTACGTGGGCGCGAACGCTTAGTTTCTTTTTCTCTTCCGAGAAAAAAACCTCCGCATGTGCAACGCGGACCTTCGCCGAGAAGATTTTCGCCGAAATGGACCGGCGGAAGGAAGAAGACGTCCTTCTTCAGCGGAAAAAGGTCGCAGTCAATATACCAGGTGTTTTATTGTTGATGGTATACTTAGACCAGAAATATAGTGCTTTTACAACCGGCCCCGCGATTAACTTCTCTTATTGTGTATTACCCCAAAACCGCAGCTCTTATAGAACTCCCTGCCGAGCAGACCCTTACCCGTAACCAACCATTGCGTTGTTAAAGTTCTAATAAAAAATTGTAGTTCTAGTCGTACTATTATCTGGGTTCGCCCTGTATACGTAAATATTTTCATAGTCGACCGGACACGCCTTTATAGCAGTCGCGACCGTTATCAAAAAAATGTTATCTAAACAACGACGAATTGAGACATTGTCGGTATTTCTTAACATCCACACATTATCGAGGTTCAAAGTTTCGAACGATTGACTTTTGAACCAAGTTGTCGCTGCACATTTCTGGATATCGTCAGTTTGATACTGTAGATATTTTTATTTCTGTCTTAGTTGTTTATATACAGCGGAATATATATTGTTTACTTCGAAACTATGATCCATTGTGGCCCATTGTTTTATATTTTATCATTGTCTAATAATCTACTGTTACTAAAATTATACGATATAGCGTATTCGAATCGGAATTATGTCTAGATCATTGTGCCAAAAAAGTGGACTGGTACATTAAAAATTTCGAAAATTATAAACAATTAAAAGTAATAAACAGCAGTATTATGCTTATAGTTCATAAAATAATATATTTTTTTAAATTTTGAAAAAAGATCCTTGAAGAGGAGGCAGTTTACTAAAAAAAAGTTCGGATTCTGGCAACTGTTCCTCCATTATTAATAATTTTAATTTAATCTTGAAAATTCCGGTATGGGTTATATTACATTATAAGTTAAAATAAAAAAAAATTGAAGGTGTATAAAGTATAAGTATAAAAAATTGATTCCGGTTGAAAATTTTCCTTAATTTTCCAATAAACTAGATTATAGTTAATTAACAACTTACTCAGGAACTTCATTTATCATTGCAAATTAAAAAATATATATTTAAATAATTGCCATACATTTTTTTCGCTTTTTTGCCTTCCTTGTATATCCACAAAATAAGAGAGTGTGAAGAAAAATTAAATAAATGTAATACTTTGTTTATATTTATATTTTTAAGTTAACAAAAAAAATTCTTTGTTGAATTTTTTTTCTTTTGTCATTAACTTACTGTTGTTGTGTTAACAAGAGATATTTATTAATTAAAAAAAAGTTTGAGAATTGGTTAAGAATTTTTTTTATTCACAAAATAAAATGGTGGGAAAAAGTTTAAATAAATTTAATGCTCTCTTTAAAATTGACAAAAAAGAAAATTCTAAGTAATGTAAAAAAAATCTCTTAATAATGATTTGTAACTGTTTATAAACGATTTTTTCACGTAGCTATTATTGAAATAATTAGTTAAGAAATTTTTTAAAATCATTTTTCTAGAAATTAACAAATAAAAAAATTTTTTCGTTAGCAATTTTATTGTTTATTGTATTAACAATTTGTTATAACAAAAAAATGACTTTTCTTAAGCTAATATTACCTCGATTTTTTATTATAGTGTGAAAACGGGAATCATTTTTTCAAATGTTTGGAATATAAACTTTAGAGTATGCCAGCATTTTTTTAGATTTTTAAATCTACTTTATATATCCAAAAAAACATATATTGTAATTTTTTTGCTAAATTTCGTCCTCTTTAACTATCTATAAGCAGAAATCAAAACACTACTTTCAACCATCTTTACTTGTTTAGAACTTTTAGAATTTTTAATGTAACATTTCACTTTTTTCTAGACATGGTATTTGATTTTTATGTTATTTTATATGATGCGTGAACACGATTCTTAACTGGTAGTTACTAGAAACAAGGCATCATCGAAATTTTAAAAAAGTAAAAACCCTTCGAGAAGCATTGAATCTGCGGTGATAAAAAAATAAAAGAAAGCTTTTTTTTAACATAATGCCAATCAAAAGAATGTATGGGCAGCGATGGTGATTTATCCGCCAAAATATGTAATTTTTAGGATATAAACAGCGATTTTGTAAAATCTGTTACAGGCTTTCCTTCTGATAAGGATTTATTATTGGGTTGTTCGGAAAGTCATTTCGTTTTTTTTGGGGAACATGAAAGACAGTTTTCGTATAATGAATAAATATTTTATTAAATTATATATTGGCCATTCTGGTCCAACACCTTTTGCCATCTTTCTGGCAGTAACATAATTCCCCTCTCATAAAAGTTTTGGTCCTTGCTGGCAAAAAACTGGTTCAGGTGGTTTTTGACATCTTCATTTGAGGTAAAGGTTGTGCCATCCAAAAAATTTTGCAGGGACGGGAACAAATAGTAGTCGGAAGGCGCCAGATCTGGAGAATATGGTGGATGTTGCAGTACGTCCCATTCAAGCTGTAAAAGTTTTTGGCGAGTGACCAAACTTGTGTGAGGTCTCGCATTATCCTGGTGGAACATTACACCCTTCCTGTTGATTAATTCGGGCCTCTTCTCTTTAAGTGAATCATTCAATTTGTCCAGTTGATGACAATAGACTTCTGAATTAATCGTTGTATTGTCCGGCAAAAGCTCAAAAAAAACGATTCCTTTGACATCCCACCAAACGGAGAGCATCACCTTTTTTTGGTGAATGTTGGCTTTTGACACGCTTTGAGCCGGTTCATCTTTTCTGCTCCATGACCTCTTGCGTTTAACATTGTTGTATACAACCCATTTTTCGTCCCCAGTAATAATCCGCTTCAAAAATGGATCATTTTCTTGACGTTTGAGGAGCGAATCACACACGTTAACGCGACGACACAAATTTCGCTCCGTAAGGACATGGGGCACCCACACATCGAGCTTGGAGGTTAAGCCCATGCCTTTCAAATGGCCATAAACAGTCGAATTCGACAAATTTAATCTCTCACCGATCTCTCGTGTGGTTATTCGCCGATTTGCATCAACTAATGCCTTTATCGCATCTTTGTCAGCTTCGGCCGGCCTTCCAAACCGTGGTGCATCTTCGACATCAAAATTGCCGGATCGAAATTTTGCAAACCAGTTCTGGCATTGGCGTACTGTTAACACGCCTTCTCCATACACATCCGTCAATTTTTTTCTCGCTTGTTCAGCATTTTTACCTTTTCTGAAGCAAAAAAGTAAAATATGACGAAAATGCTGCTTATTGCTCTCCATATTTAAAAGGGCACCAACCAAAAACTACTGCGTAGAATTAATAGAACTTTTTCACACACAAGCCTTGCAATATCAGCTCTCAAGACATATAATGGTTATGCGGCTTAAGTGTGAAGTTGGTTTCGAAAAAACGTAATTAAGTCCTCTGATGGGAAAAAACGAAATGACTTTCCGAACAACCTTATAATTCCACATAATACCTACGTTTTCTTTCACCCTGTAACTGAAACTGATGTATTGCGGATAATTAAGACTATTTAGACTAAGGCAACCAAAAATGGTAAATCCAGATAATATTCGCCCTTCCTTTGTCAGTCTTGGCCAGTCAATCTTACGTATACAGATACAGCTTCATTTAAATAACAACCAAATTATCCCCGTTACTAGAAAGACCTTTATTATTATTTATTAAAAAATTATAAAATAAATAATACATGTTTCACATTTTTTCAAATCATTTCCGCTAGATTAGCAAGATCGGTTCAATGTGGATCAAGTGGGATTTAGGGTTTTGGTTATTTCTATGTGAAAATGGAGGTTATACCTTCTTTAAAATAAAGGATACTTTGATATAGGTACTGGTCCAAAGGCAACCATTAAGGGAATCTCGCGCTACAAATAAGATAATGATTTCATTTATAATCTATTTATTTTTTTAAGAAAAACTTGCAAAAACATTTCATTCGATTTCAATCATTTTCAATTTCTTCATAACACCAAATTAAAAAATAAATTGTAAAGCAATGTGTGACGGGATATTTATTTTTTTTTTATAGTTTTTCGCATTTTTTTTGTAAAAATGCCGAATATTTTGAAGAAAATTTTTAGTTTTTTTTTATTTTTGTTGAACATTTTGTTTTACTTATTTTAATTCTTCATAAAATGTCGGCGTATCTGCAATTTGAAACTTGCCAATCAAAAATTTCCGAAAACAAAAAAGTAACCCTAAAACATACAATTTCGAGTGACGCATTACGACGAGATTATCGTATTTCAACTGTTTTCGGCCGTCTATTGAAAACCGGTGGACAAGTAGCTCATGGAATTTTTGCGGGTGAAGAAATACGGGGCTTTCGACGTCGGACACTCGAACTTTTCCAAAAGACGTTCGACCTTCCGTTGGCTTTTCAGTCCGACCGGCTGTAGCAAGTTATTCCACAACAGGTTCGCCCCTGAAATCGATATCGAAAATCGACCCGCAACAATTACGTCGTTAAGAAGGTTCAATTAGAAAAGTTAACGTCAAAACTGATATTAATGGGGTTATAATTTCACTCGCCGATGCATTTAACCCAAATGGCGGCGATAGATAAAATTTGATATGTTCCGAAACCAATTTTCAAGCTTTTTATGGTATTCACAATTTAAAAAGTAAATATTTATCAAAATATAGTGAAAAAATTTGCATCCAAAGAAATTTTTATTCTCATTTCTTCATTTTCAACTGTACCGCGTAAATGCCATAAAGACTTGGGGTGACAAAACTTATAATTAAGACGGTCAAAACAAAATCTTAAAATATTAAAAAAAATATATATTAAAAACATTCCTAAATATGAGGACATTTTTTATTTTTATTTTTTTTACCAAATTCAAAGTATAGGTTTATTGATTTAACCGCAGTATGGAGAATGCATGTGTATCAAGTCAAATGAAGAAATACATATGAAGATAATAAAATAATATATCAATATGTCGAAACAATGGTGATGTGAATGTATATAATTTCGTGAAAATCTGGACTTTTAGTTCTTATTTATTTTGATTAATGGATTTTCATCAAGTAAAAGCCACCTCAGTTCAATTTTTTTGGATGTTTCGAGTTTTTACTTTTTTTTTTGACACATGTAACGTATTCTCAAGTGCAACGAAATAAATAATTTCAGAGCAAAAAAAGTATTTTTTTTTTGCTTGGGATAATATGGGTTAGGTCTGAAAAACATATATTTTCTATTATATTATCTGAAAATCATCACAGTCGATGTCATTCGAAATTTATTAGTTTCCAAGAATCCTTGCTTTAATTATTTGAGTTATAAATAAAATTATTGAATGCTAGTTTTTTGTTATGATTTCTTGCTCGTATTCCGCTTTTAAATTTCTGCAAATATTAATGCAATGCAGGTTAGGAAAGAGCCATCGAAATGTCGCTTTCACTATCATTGTACACCCTATCGAGAAAATCGATTTTATTTATAGTGACGTCGTGAAGCGCCATCTACCACCGATACAAGCAATCGAAATCAATCTGCTCCTGGCAGCCTTGATGGCCTTTTCAAAGCCTTCGATTTGATCAAATGCGTTCAGCCATTAACAATTTATCCTACAAAATCAACGGTCTAGCAAAATAAAATAAACATCTGCGTCAGAAACTTATAAGCAGCATACAAAATAAAAATAAAATAAAAATAAAAACATTTTCTTACGATATTAGGGTTAGGCTGTTAGGGAGCTGATCGAGGAAAGATCATATTAAAGCTTTCATGTCGCTTATTAGGTATGGAATTAATTTTTTTGAGGAGATGGAGTCTTATTTTATCCTATAGAATAATATAAGGATTTATATCATTGTAATAATAATTCTAAAGAAAAGCCCAATATATAGGTACGAAATTATTTAACTGAGTTTATAGCGTGAACTCATAACCATGACTTTTCTATTCACAGAGATGTTTCTGTGTATAAATCTCTCTTAAATTGCATTAATAATAAAAATTAAACTATGGTAATCCTTTTATTATATTAATCTCAATATAAATCTATGTATGTACTACTTATTATCTTGCCAACAAATAGCAGATAGAAGCCTTTTCACCCCAAGTCTTTATTTTTAATTTTTGAGATCGAGTCAACATATATATTTTTCAATCCGTGAATCAATACTTAAAAAAAATCTTAAATATTCTGCCATGTTGTGAACACAATGAAAGAGAAAATATCTTTTAATATATTGTTTAAAATATTTAACATTATATGTTATTTATTTATTTTATTTTACATTTGGGTAGTTTTGTATTGATTTCAATCACAGCACAATACGAATTCAGATACGACAGGTTCTGTTATCGCGAAAACAGTCTTTCATTGATCTTCGTAACCCATAAATGGGTTAATTGAAACTTGAGGTTAAATTACGTCGATAAAAAGGCAACTCTTACCTAGGGCGTGGCCTTTCTGGGAAAAATGGAAGCAGTCGTGGGTAATGTAGGATATGTCGATGACTTCTTCGTAACGTCTCGCTGGATGATCCGGTGCGTTGAACAGTTTGATGAAAGGTTGAATTACGACAGTAAAGTCTTCTTTCCGATCGTATCTACCGCTCATAACCTACAGGAAATATTATTTGTCAAACCGCGTTAGTAAAAAGCAAAGCTACAACCATTACAACCATCCTTATGTGCTTAATTAGCAGAGGACTGCCGTAAGAGGACTGTAGCTTAAAAATGAAGGCGTTTCCATCCTTTGGTATTAATCGATTTGGTCACAAGTTTTTTCACCCCAAACGTGTAATACAATTAGGTAGCGCCCTTTTTAATTGGCCATCAATAATGTTCAATTAATCTGGTACAATATAGTCATTACGCCCGGGTTCGACTCTTTCACCATGTACTTTTGACCAAACATTGACGTTATTCTTTCGCTATACGCCATGGTCTTTCCACCCGTATTTCTTCTGACATTAAGGGACATTTTAAACTGCTTTTTCTTCGTTAATAACGAGAGTGTCTGACAACCTAATTTTGGCCAAATATCGACATATTCTTTAGTTATACAGGGACTAGTCAGAGGCCAGAACGCCATTTCCTTTTTCAAATTTATTTAGTAAAATTTGATAGAACGTAACGTATTTTCGGTTAATTTGTAACTATGGTTTGTAAGAATAGTTTCAGAAATTGTTCAGCGGAGTTCTTTTAATATTAAAACCACTTTGACGTCTTAAAAACGTTGCAGAAGCGACGAACGGTCATTTAACGTCGAAACTGCTGTTTCTTCGTTAATAATTTAATTTTAACCAAATATAGACGCATTCTTTAGTTATACATAGACTAGCCAGAGTCCAGAGCGCCATTTTCTTTTTGTAAATTATTATTTTCAATTTGGTAGAGTGTAACGTATTTTTGGTTAACCTATAATTAAGTGTATTGAGAATGGTTTTGGAAATGGTTAAGCGACGTTTTTTCAACATTAAAACCACTTTGACCAAATATAGACGCATCCCTTCACCATACAGAGATTCGCCAATGTCGATAGCGCTATATTTATTTTTTCAAGTTGAAATTTTTAAATTGAAGTCCGACTTTACAATGTAGGCCGCCGCCATCCGGACCTCTCAAAGTTTTACGAGATTTTAGAATTTAATCAGACGGAGCGCAATCTAGCAATACTACTCGCGACTGTCTTAATGCATGTTTTATGCTAAGCCTCTGGACGAGACAGACCAATCTAAAAAGCGGGAAATTAAAGGAGCTATGTTTTTTAATGTTACGGCTAATTGGCCTGCAATTTTTATTCGACATCATTGCGATATATTTTAGAGATAACGCAGTATGAGACGCTGTCGTATCTCATCACGTGGTTTAATCAGGTATTAATTAGGCTTTAGATCTTTTTGAAGTTATAATGAAAAAAGAAGAATAACAAACCCAGAGGTTCGTCAAAATGACGTCATTTTCGGGTCATAGGTGGTCGCTACTCGTCAGTGGTCCGAAAACCACGTCATATTGACGTCAAAGAAGGATGTCTCATTGACGTCACAAAAATTACCTCAAACGCATTTAAAAATCGATATAGTTTTCGGCAGCGTTGATCAAAATGCGACGTTAAGTTGACATAAAAAAGACGCCAATCGACGAAATTGACGATATTAATGGACTTAAAAAAGACGTCAGTCGAATGACGTCATTTGTGTGAAATATTATTATTCATCATCAGATATTCTCTGTTAGCTTTGGTTTTGGAAATACAGTTTACTTTATATTATTCGTCAAAATTAAATTTCCTATTTTAAGCTAATTAGCTAAATATATAACTGGACTTTGTCCTGATCTAATCTTGTTGACGAATTTCAAAACAAATTGAAAACAAAATTTAAATATGTTTTAAGAAATCTGTGTTTTATTCGCGGCGCTTTTTTGAGCCTCCCCGTAGTCTTTAAAATAAATTTTAAATTGTGCACCCTAACAATCTTTACAACTTTTATGTTTGCAATTTTCTCAAAACTTTTGAAACCAATAACCTCACTCACCCTGTACAGGGTGGTCCAAATTCGACTGGCCTCTATGACTTTAGGCATTTGCAGCATAGTTAGCCCAAAACTAATAGGCATGTTACTGGCACGATTTTCGAGAGAAGTCGAAAACCAAAAACCGCGTCATGATATGTCAAAGAGTTTCTGAACTACAGGGTGATTCTTAAAAATATGCGTTTCCAAAAACCATATAACTTTTTTATTTGTAAAGTTACTGATTTTTATAAAAATCATTTTATGAGGATTTTTTAAGGGCAAATCTACCTGTCTCTTTGAATTTGTCTTAAAGCCTTTAGTTCACGAGATGTAACACAAAGTTACATTTTTTTAAAATGGAATATCCCAATTTAAAAAAAATTGTTTTTTATTAAAATTTCCTGTCAAAGATGTGCCATACACCTATTTTTATTAAGTAGTTAAAGATATATCTGGAATTTGGACCACCCTGTACAATCGAATGTATAAGTTAGATAAAGAGCCTTGGATCATTTAAAAAAAATTCAATTTCCAGTTTTGACTTGGATGTTTTCGAATTTTTTACTGCTTATAGCATACGTTCATTTAGTTATTGCAATGCAATAATATATAGCGTTTTACGATACGGCACTGGTGGAACGGAGAAATCGAAACGCCACACGCAATGACCATCCCGGACAACGGCCAACACGAATATAATCCTTTCTTCTTCGTTTTTAATCATTGGGGTGAATTTATTACCCTAAGCGTTTTGACATACCAGTTCTTCTTCCGCCTTCTGGTATTCTTTAGTCAAAGTGGTGATAACGTCCATATCGTCTTCGCCCTTGTGAAAACACCCGCAAAATAAACGATGGAAGAGGTGGCACATCATTGTCCTTTTTATCCTGACGCTAACCGATACATCTGCAGGGAAGAAGAAAATCATTGCATAAAAAAAATCGGTAGTAATTTTTCGAAGTTTGGGAAGAAATAGCACTGAGTTTTTCCGTTAGGGGATAATTGATATTAAAAAATTCCTTGAGTTGGTATTTTCCACACAAAACCACTTGCAAAGAGCTATATAATTGAATAAATACTCTCGTCTCGTCTCGTAGGGGGTTGGTTCTTTGAAAAACGACTATAGCAATAACGAACAATATGAATATAAAATTCGCAAATTAAAAGTTTTCTAGTAAAATGTGTTTGATAGATTTTGAAGAAGGTTCATGTATGTGAAAGATGTAACTAATATTAGGTGGCGCTTTTTAAAAAACTGTTTCCCTTCAGCTCGCGACTAGCGTCGAAAATAAAATTTGAGTAGCCAATAACTGATGCTAAAGATGATATTTCGCAGTGGAAGTTCCGCTACCCGGCGCATCCGCCATAAACGTCACCATTTGAATGTTTTTAAATATCATTATATTATTTGTATTTACATTTGGATCGACTTCTGGTTTCATTCTTACCGAGAACCAAGGTGACATTTTTTATACGACTAAAACCTAATTCATTTTGAAAAACTAAAATGCTTATATTCCAATACTTCATATATACTGTTGAAAAAATAATAAGATCTTCGCCTTAAAGAAGCCGCAAAAAAGGAAGAAGAATTTTAGTGGTAGCATCGTGACTTCAGCACTTCAACTTACATAAAGTTTGTTGATAATTGAAATTTAAACATTTTAATTCATCAATCACACAAATACCAATTATTAAAACTCAGTTATGAAAATGTTTAACATCAAATATATTTTATTATTTTGACAAATAAAATGAATGGTGAAGCAAGGAATTTTTTGGTTTGAATATTAGTATGCTTCGAATATTTGAGATGGTCAATTAAATTGACGCTTTTTATATTTCATGAAATAGATTGTTTGTTTGTATGTTGCAAAAGTTTTGTTTTATTATTTCATTTTAGCAAGCAATTTCGTTCTACAAATTATGTTTTAATCGGTTCACTGCTAAACAATAAAATTGTACAAAAATAATGAAACACATAAACACAAGGCAACGGTATTGCCTAAAGAAACATGTTAACGTTTAGATGCAACAAACAAATCACATAATAATACTGTTTAACGTATCAAAGAGTAACATTAAAATTATGCAATTATTATCAGTTAAAATTCTATAACTTCTTATTGGAGTTGGTAGTAACAATAGGAAACCACTTTTTTTAATTTTATTGTTATTATTATTGTGTCTTTATCAAACTCTTGACTGGAACCTTCGCCACTGTACTAACACACAATAACGCGTTTTACCACAAACCGAAACTCAATTTTACGTACTCAACGCGCGTTTCCCCAACCAAGTTGTCATCTTCAGGAGAAGATTAAAACTAAACTTAATAACAAATGCTCTCTATATATATATACACATCGGGAAGTGGGAGAGGGGATTACGCACTGTTCACGCAGCCAATCAGCGCGTATAATGGGCTAAATGGGATCGGACCTCTGTCCTTGTTCAGTGCCTTATTCCCTCTCTTAACAATTTGTAAGCTACTTTGTTTCTTTCATATTCAGGTCGGGAAATTTTGGCGCTGGCCTCGTATGTTTACTCTGTACGCTGACCAGATTGAAATTGGTAATCTAATCTTATCTAATTATTTATTTATTAGGGACAAAATCTTTTTTTTTTCCTTTTCCTTTTCTAGTGTTTTTGATTCTACTATAATTTAAAAAAAAATCTTCGAGGCTAATATTTGGTATGGTTTTAAGCTGCAAAGCAGTTTATGGTTTAACTGGTTTATGCTTGGGAAATATTCATGATGTATGTATGTATGTATTCAACTGTATTCATGGTCTTCGTAGGTGAACTTGTATGATATATATGTATATATGTTTTTGTCGCACTCATGGAGTGTCAACAATCAGAAATAATTGTTCTTAACCTTTTTTTGTAATTAAGTGTTATTTTTATATAAAAACGACCCCTAAAATAAAGTAGCGATTTTGTTGTAAAAGTAGTAAGTTTTTTTATTGGTAGTATTAAGACTTGAGAATTTTTAAGCTAATTTATGACCTTGAAAACGATTTAAAGCCTCACCTAATACGGGAATGAGGTTGACGAACGTCCTTGGCAAGTTGTCGTACAAGTAGTCCAAAGCTCTGGCGAGCTTCCTCGCGTGACTCCACGCGGAAGCTTCGTCCTTATCGTAGCACTGAGCCGAGCAGATGTCGTTGGCGCCGAAAAACACCGTCACCATTTTCCAGTCTTCGGCCATGTTGACGCGCGGATCGCTCTTCATCTTGTTAACCAAGATTTTCGCTTGTCTGAGGGCGTCCGCATCTGCCGCCACTGGAAACGCGACGTTCATTTTCGCTTTCGACGAGAGGAATTCGCCGGTACCGGTCGAATAGCCAGTCAGATTCGGGTTGAATTCCTTCAGAATGTTGGGAAGGGTCAAGTGCTCCCGCCAGGTACCTTCGCCGCCTGTAAGAGGGCGCGCATTTCTTTCATATATACAGAGTGTTTTATGCGGCAATAAAACTAGGGTCCGGTAGCTTTTAAAGGGCAGAACAGACGGTCTCACAAAGGTTTGGGTAATAATATAAGGTGAAACTCTGTATTACGAACAAAATTTGTTGTACTATTAGGTCGCCATTCAAAGCTATGTAATAATCCACTCTGTATACCAAATGAAAAAAGGGCACATCAGGTATGGTCTGTTTTAACGGAATCTTTTAGAATTCGGAATATCTAGAAAAAATTAGGATTTACAGAGAACAGCAAAGGTCGATTATTTACTTGGATGAAACCTGGTTCGACATTTACGATACCCCGGAAAAGGGTTGGGTTGACTCGACTGATAAGTGTAAAACAAACGCGCCATCAAAAATAGGAAAAGAATAACTATTTTCCATGCTGGCTCTAAAGATGGTTGGATTCCTTCTTTTAGATTTAAACATAAATACAGACATAAATAAATAAATATTGTTTAGTATCTTTTCTCACAAAACCCCAAATAATTAAATTCTAAGCAAAGTGCGGCCCTGTTCGGCCATATTTCATTCTTACAGCTTGCCCGGGTCTTTCCTTAATTCGTATCAGTTAGTTACTTTCTTATATCTATGAACAAACTTTAACCATCGTTATTGTTGAACATTTGTTATTGTTTATATTTGTTAACATTTACTTTTTGCCAATAAATTAATAAAATAAAAGCCCCAGTGGAAATACCTACCGGCGCACCATGATACGCCCCTGTTTTCGATCATGGTGCCCAAAGCATACTCTTCGAGGGCACCATTTCCAGCAACCAATGAATCCCCAAGAGCACCGATAACGTCTATGTCGCCAGGTCTGAGCTTGTGAACGCTGGTGGGTTTGCGATCACTCCTGCCCATTCCAGCTCTCACTGACTCCTTACAAGGGAACGGGACGCTCTTGGGAAACGACCTTTGCACTCTGGCGTTACTCCGTAAAGGAAATTGGATGATGAAGTTACCGATGCCGTCCTGTAAGGAGAATTAATATAAATATACATTAACTCCTGGACAAAACCCTATCTCATTAATTTTGCCACATTTTTTATGATATTTTTTTGTGAAATTATGGTCCAATTTGAGTGATTTTTTTATTGTAGATTGGTTCCTTTACAATGTCATAGTTTTAGCTAGTAATGATAAAAAGTTTGTTTTGCTAAATGTTATGCGTTTTTCCGAAATTTCGTATCGCCCTGTGTAATATACTAGCAACCGAAACAACAGTTTAGTGTTATAGATTTTAGAAATCAATACGCCATTTTTAAATGTTTATACATCTACGTTATACATTATTGTACATCTACATTACTATATTATACATTATTAAACATGTACATAATTACATTATTTATCCAGAAGAAGTTCTGAAAAAATATAAAAAGGTTATGTATGGAGTTAATATGATTCAAAAAGGACTGCAGTTGTCTTTCCGTTTCAGTGAAACAAGCTAAAACATAATCTCCTTTACTCAGAGGATGTTTATGTACGATATTTTCTATATTGTCCATGAAAATTTCTGCAAGTAGTGGACCAAGTGGGTTTCCCATCTTTAGCAATGTAAAATTAAAAAATAAAAATAATTTTGATCTGAACAAAGTATTAAACTACCTAGCGAGGCATTATGATATTCTAAAATTTTTATTTATCTTATTAGCAAATCCCGTTTGTGTAATTTAATTAAAGAATATAGCTTTGGAGGTTAAGGATTCATGATTATTAGTTGGTATTATTGCATTTTTGAAACACAGCGACTAGGTAGACGCTGCTAATTGATACCTCGCGCGGTTTAGCAAAACAAGTAAGCTCGTGGACGACGGCATTCATAATTTCTTGTATTTACATACGGACTACTTGCTGCAATTGTCACAAATACCGCGTCCCATCCTACCGACGGCCCATAGACGAAAAGAAAGCAACCACGTCCATTAGGCGGTCGTGGTGAGTTAGTAATGCGTCGCAGGTGTGCCACATACGGGGGCTAAATGAAAAGTAACCAAAACGATTGACGTTTGTCTCTTTTGTCTCTAACATTTCGGGCGAATGGACTTGTTTCCGTTAAGGGTAAAAAATTTCATATGAAAGTATGACCTAAGGGTCTTAACTTTTCAGACACAGGGTGATAAAGTTGCCAAATATAAAATGAAAATTTTTAATATCTGTACTTTGTGTACTGTTTAGTCTACTACAATTTTTTTAAAATACGCCAGTATTCTCACAAACTTCAATCATTTCGCGCCTTACTAAAATGAATGCAAATGTCATTAATGCAATTCAGTGGCGTGGAACTTACTGTCTGTGTATTAAAAAAAATTGTGCTGCGCTAAATAATGCGTCTTGATAGATAGTACGTGTGCGCCAAATTTCATTAAAATATCTAAAGTTTACTATTTAAAAAACACCCCGTATAGGTTTTAGTTTTCGTATCGCCCCCGTATAAGCCCACAAACAAAATCGAGAGACGGATATACAAGACGGCAAACATCGTAACCGAACCGCTTAAATTATGCAAAGCACAAACATCGTTTTAAGTTGGCAAACAAGCATCGGTATTGCTAAGATAATGCAATGGAACCAATCGTATATGATCCCCGACTTCCATTGTTGAAAAAGAAAGTTCTTAAAACCGTTCGCGGATATTAATTTTTTACGTGAGCGGTTTTTCCGATTAAGTCGAAGCATTGCTGCCTATTGACTTACCCACGGGTTTCCGATTAGCAAGTCCTGGAAGCTCTTGGGCTTGGACGTTAGTTGTCCGGCGATGTTGCCGCTCCTAAGCGCGAAGGAGAAACATAGAAATCTCGCAACGGTGTTCGCAAAGTTTGCCATGGTCCATGTTCGAGCGTGTAGCCAACATCACTATCGCAGTGCGTCTTTTAATCTTTAAATAGATCGAAGTAAAACTACTGCTACCAAAGTCCATAAAATTCCATAATTACTGTGGGTCGATTTTAATGAAGCCCTATTTTCTAAAATCTTTTTTTATTGCGACGAACACGAACACAAACACATCCTGTCCCTTATATCTGAGTATATAAAACTAACAGTGCTGAAAATTCGTTTTACTGACATTGAGGAAGCAGTTACACACAAGTTTTTTATTGGCAGCTCTTTCGCAATTTCTGGCTCATTCTTTAGTGATGTCCACCATTGTGTTCGATTTACGTTTTTTATTATTTAACCCGAACACTTATATTTTTTTACTGTGGACAAATTGGATAAATTGAGATCACGTGAAGTGGACCACTTGTGATGGGAAATTGATCCCCCAAACAATTTTTTAATATGTTGATTTTAACAACTTTTTTTTTATAATGAAAACTTTAAGCACTTTTAATTAAAAAATGGATTACAAAACAACCGTAAGAGATAAGAGATAAAAGAGAAATAAAATGAAATTTTCAGTCAACAAAAAATTATTTTTTTATTTTCGTATTGTTAACCAACTTTTAAGTTAACAACTAAAAATTTAACTGATTTCTTTCTAAAAAAATCATGTTGTTTTTGTTGGTCACATGCTTTATTTTGAACACCCTGTAACATCAAATTTAAATTCTGTTGCAAATTTGAAATATGCGTGATGTTAAAACTTTAAAACTTTTCCAAATATGAAAGCTTCTTTTTTTTAATTAAAATATTGGAAAAACTATTGGGTTTAGGTATATAATAATATTTATAAAAAAGTTGAAGAATTTTAGATGAATTAAAAACAAAATTTATAAATAGAGGGTCCCACTTAAATGTATGTTTTATTTGTCTAGCATTTTTGAGCCACCCCGTACAATCACGCAATCCTAACAGCTTTTGTTTTTACCATTTTCTCATAATTTGAACCTTACCGTATCACTGACTCATCCTGTCTAAAACGCGTGGATTCAAAATGGTCATTTTATCTAAAAATTTCCGAAAAACTTATGTAAATTTCCTCAAAATTTCACTATCACGCTTTTTTTGCACCAAAAAAAAAAAAAAAATAGAACGGAAAAAATCCATTACGACAGTTAAGGATATAATTTTCCAAAATTTGGTAGTCGTAAAAGTGCTGCCAAAATCAAAATGATAATGTGCATTTACCCCAGCTTAGTAACTGCACGTGAGTGTATCTATTAAATATTTACCCTTGCATAAGTTTGAATTTTTACGTAAAATTAATCGAAATGGTTGCCATGTTTTGTTTTCATTTTATCTTGATTTTTTCTTGTTTAACAAAGGCCCTTCATATTATTGTGAGTTTGAGAGTTAACCACGAGTTTGAAATTTTCCACGTAAATAACTTGGTTATTTTCGTTACAAAGGAAACGAGGAATATTGCGAGTCAGGTTTTCGCTACGCGAGAGACTTTTCCGTCTACCGTAAAATTGGAAAACATATCGGTATTTGCACTCAAAATAAACCCTCCGAACGCGAAACTACCTTTCGCTAGAATACGAACGTTAAGTAAATAAAACCTCACCCATAATATCGTGGCTGATATCCGACTGTAATTCGCTTTAAACTAAGCTTAACTTCGACTCTCGTCAACTGACCATAGATTTCAATTAAAATTTTTAAGCTTATCACGCGCGTACGGGGGGAAAGTGGGCTCGGCGGTCAAACATTGCGAAAATGTATTGTCGTACGGGCCCATTAACGAAATTTTTTTTCCATAATTGCCCATGCTGATGTTTAAATTTCGATATTGGGCAAGCGGCGGCGAATAAATTTTCTTTCTGTGACCATTTCCAACGTTTTCGAAAACTGTTACACTCGACGGGTCGGATAAAGTCAGCGGTGTTGACAAATTTCGGTACTGAAAACTCTAAATTGGGGTACGATCTTTTTATTTTCGTCAAAAGATCATAAATAACATCTGAAATGAACATGACATTAAAAAAGATCCTAAAAAATGTTGAACGCGACTTAAAAACAAGATTTCTTTCGAAAAATCGTCACTGGGTGGGGTAAGTTTAGTAGCGCGTTACAGTTACAGCAAATATCGGGAAATATTAAAATTTGCACAAATAATAACGTTGTCGAATGATATTTTTTCAAATATCTCGCGCCCCGTATAATTGACGACACCTGAAACTCTCTCACGACACGGTTTACGATACTGTTCAAATAAAATTATCCCATTTTTAACGGGTTTTCATTTATCGCCAATAATTTACCCACAAAAACGGAAATTTTAACGATATGTTAGATCTCTTGGTCATAAACGACACACCCTGTATATGATACAATCATCGTTCGAAGTAGAGATTATAGCCTTGGATTTTCCACGCGTCCTGGTTCAAGAATTTTTGAAAAATATTAAATGGTTTTCGAGAAAATAAGTTTTTTCTGAAACCATGACATGCGACGTAATAATCAATGAGGTCATCTCTCTTGACAGCCCCCCAAATAACTATTTCAATATGCTAAATTTGAAGTTGATATTTGCAAATTTAGGACACTTAACACATTTCTCATTAAGCACGGAATATCGGGAACATCCTGTACAATAGGTGAAAACTTTAAATACAAAACTTTTTGCTGTCTATGCGGGCTATATCTCAATACAAAAGAAAGTGAGGTCTGAATCATAGTCTTTCAGTTATAGCCAATTTTCAATAATAGGGGGGCCCATTTTTCAGTTTTTTTGAATTTGCGGCGCACCCTGTATATTTTTCAAAAATTGTCAAGAATAAAAGTTTATAGAGCCGTATCTGCTGCTTCTACTGATTCAAGAATTCTTTCGGTCACGCAAACAATTTTTGAAAAATGATGTTTTTTGTAGACCCTTGCACGCGTGATTTTTTATATTTTTAGAATACTTCCCTACCCCCCAGCCTCCCCATTTTCAATAGGTTCCGTCATGGAGCAAAGCTGCATATATGTGCCACATATGAAATCGATTGCTTCAAATTTCGGACACTTATCGTGTTCATAGCAAGGTCCAAAAAACAGTCGAAAATCACGAAAAAAAGATGGATACCGGCTTCGGATCAGACAAGAAAATTTTTTTTTTTCGACGGTGATCGTTTCTGTACCAACGGCGATCCCGTAGGACTTACCGTTACCGAAATATAAAATTTGTATACGAGCGCAGATACTTTCGAAAATTCCATTTCATCGCTTTAAGGATAGCAGGAGAGTAATACATTTGAAATCTTTATTGACATTTGCGTCCTCAAAAGTTGACAGCCGATTACGCTATCTTCGAAGTCAAAAGCCCTGTACTGCCGTGGAAGTACCTCTTCTTTCGATTGGACCCATTCGTGTGATCCTCAGATCAGCCCCCTAGGAAAGACTTATGCTTTAGAGAAAGTCCAAGGATAAATACCTGGAAATACTTAAAGGGTTTGTGTTGACCTTAATGTCTAAAGATCTCCGGCTGGTCCGCAAGGACCTTGGCAATCGATTTTTACCTCTGGGACCGTACTCTAAGCCTGGGGAAGAATTAAACCGTAGAAATCAAACAAAAAAAAATGAAGGAGAAGAAAACTTTATTATAATTAATTTATAAATACGGTGTAGGTATAAAAGAATTTAACATTAAAAGCTGTCGCGTCTTTCGCTGGGCGCCACGTAGGTGGCGGTAGTGGTTCTTCTTCTGTTCGTCGACGTCTTTTTGAAACTCCATCCGTACTTCTGATCGAGGTGGATGTCGAGCTTTCTGAGCGCGTTTCTGATCTCGCCGTGTACTTCGCGATTAGCGTAGCAGAACAAAACCGCCACGAATATGCCCTGAAGCGCCTCCATCGAATACCTGAAGTAGTCGTAGACGTCTTCCGCTAGGCAACTCTCGTCCACTACCACCTTCTTGGCTGTGATGAATATGTGAAGTCCAAACAAGGGTATCAGGAACAAGGTCGCCCTAAACGCTGCCCTGGAAGCGACATAAATAGTGGGTCTCTATTTAAAGGAAATTAAAATAGGAACAAATCGATTAAAACTCACTTGGTTTGTCTCGTCGGTCCGCCCTGCTTCATCTTCGAGATCATCACTCGGATAATATCTAGTAGGAGCCCGGAGTTGATCAGCAGTATCACTATTCTCAAACCGTCCACCGCCCATTGCTCGTTGTGTCTATCTACCATCCAACAGTCCACTCTGCCGTTGATCCCGACTATCGTTGCCCATATTATAGATGGCACCAGTGTCAAAACTAATATAAAAAAACAGTTGTACCATAAGTATCAGACTAATGAGAGTACTAGGAATTCAATTAGAAGAAGAGATACTTCCTTCAGACCATTTAATAAAGTACTGAGGAAAAATGTGAACGAATAATGGATGAATAAAAATTGAGCTCATTGGAGGAAGATATTTTCTTCGCGAGCACAAAAGAAAAAAAAGGTTTTGAGAGCACGAGAGGTAGATAAAAAAGGATGTCGCTTAAAGTTACAGAAATAATTGATCTCGTATAAGGAGTTTAATTGGAAGAAAACCTATTTCACTAAAATGGTGTGAGAGTACAATGGATCAATGGGAAAAGCTACAGCTGAAGCTATAAAAATGCAAACCATTAGGATATGCTAGTACTAGAATTTTATAAGCTCAATCAGAGGAAAAGATACTTCTTCAAGAGCACAGGACCTCCTGAACAGCTGCACATCGTTAGGATTAGAGGACTGAGGGTACTACAGTATTGGGACCTTAATTTGAGAAAAACGTACCTTCATGAGAGCACAAAAGTGAAGAAGAAAAGTGACGACTAAGAATATTAAGAGTACATTTTTACAAATGACACTTCCTGAAGTCAAAGTGGTGAACAAAGATGTAAAGACATAATCGATCAATATAAAAAGGAGCTCTCTTGAAGTTACCGGAATAATTGACTTGCTAAAGAGCTGCACACTTATAGGTCCAGATGAGTGAAAGTATTAGAGCACTAGGAACTCATTATAGGAAAGGATATTTCATCAGGAGTGCGCAAAATGTTGGGGCATAATGGATCAATAAGAAAAGCAGCTTATCTAACCACCATGGGAATCATAGGATTGAGAGTACAATCCTGTACGGTATTTGGAGTTTAATTTAAGGAAAAAATACTACCTCGGGAACACAGAACTTCAGACAGATGGGACTAAGTGCATTAGAAATCATAGAAATCATACGAGGATATAATTGATCGATAGGACAAGGAGCTGATCTGAAGCTACAGGAATAATTGCCCTCCACGCCATTAGGATCAGACGACTGAGAGTACTACAGTACTAGATTCAATTGCAGGAAAAGATATTTCTTCGAGAGAGCACAGGAGTGAAGAAAGATGTCAGATCATATTGGATCAATAGGAAAAGAAGATCATCTGCCGAAACTGAAATAATTGACCTCTCAATCAGCTGTGTATCATTAGGATCAGAGAATTAAAAGGTGCTTAGAGTATTAAGAAGCTGAATTTGAGGATAAGAAATTTCCTCAAGGGCACAGAAGAGAGAAAAATAAGGACTAAGAGTACTAGACCATTAGGAGCTCAATTTGAAAAAGGATAAGTATTGTTAGTCCTCGAAAAAATGGTGGCGAAGAAAGATGTGAGGGAATAACGAATCCGTAGGAAAAATTGCAAACTACAAGAATAATCGACCTCCACACCACTGAGATGAGACGAGTAAGGGTACGAGAGCACTATGAACTCAATTGGAGGAAAATATGTTTCCTGGAGAGAGCAGTGAAGAAAGATGTGGGGCCATAATGTGTTGATAGAAACAATATGTCATCTGCGGATACAGAAATAATTGACCTTCTAACCAACTGTGTACCAGTAGAAGCAAAGGATTGAGTGTACGAGAGTATTAGAAGCTTAATTTGAGGAAAATATACTTTCGCGAGAGCGCTACGAATACTACAGGATTAGGAGCTTCATTTGAGCAAAGAAAGCTGCAGACATAATTGACCTCAAAATACTCACTCAGCACAACGAGGTACAAATGCAAGCGTCTCGGCTCCTTGGCAAACGACCTGACAATGGCGGCGTGCAAATAATAGCCGTCTACGAACATGCACGCGTAGATGGAGTTGGTGGCGGCGCTGACAAAGAACGCCAAAACCCTGCAACCCACCGTGTTCCTCTCCATGACGTGATTGCTGATCGCGTTCGACTGCAACGCGTCGATTAGCACCAAGTCCTTTGCCAAGATGGTCAGGACGTTGCGGACAACTATGGCGATCAGCAGGTTACGATGGAGGATCACCCTGGTCGTCTCGCGAAACGTCGAAAAGGCGAAAAAGATCGCGATGGCGGGCAGAGAACAACCGATGCAGACGTACAGGAAGATCACGTGGAAGGAATAGCGTTTGAGGTAGACGGGAGCTATCGCGCATGTGCTGTAGTCCGTCTGTTGGTTCCATTCGGCTAGGCCGGTCGAGGAGTTCCAGAGACAGTCTTTTCTGCTTTCCACTGTGGAATAGTCCAGAAGTTGAAAAAATAAAAACGATTCTCGGTTATTTTTTAAGATAGAAAGTTGAGATTTACGAGAGGCTTTCAAGGTTTTTGGGATATAGGGCGAAATCCAGGACTATTGATTTTGGGACCACCCTCCTATCTCCGTTGTCTTTTAAATTATTGAAGACCTTGAAATAACGTTCTTGTAGGATTTTTTCCGTGAAATCCAGTGGCGTAGTTTGTTTTTACTTAATTTGTTATGAAACAAACATTTTTTTTTCAAATGGAATGCTCTGTATATTATTTTTTACTTTAATTGTAAATGTTCAGAAATAGATATTAGTATAATTTTTTTTCACATTTTATTTTATTTGTAGCAGCAGGCTATGATTAATCTGTTAAAAACAATATCTAAGTAAACAATTGGTAACACACACACATTTAAATGTGTTTTATAGGTTATGAACTAATATTTTTAATAATTTTAATTCATACGATTTAACATTGTATCTAAAGAATATTAACATAATTTTATACCTAAAACTGTTGTTCAAATTGGAAACCATTTTCTCGAATTCAGAACTAGCGCATTTTCTTATTTTTCTTAATGGCATTTAAAAGAATTATTGACTTTTTTGTCTTTTTGTAACAGATTCGTATCGGTTCGCATAAAAAGAAATCAAAAACTTAAAGATACGGAGATCATTGGGGCCATGTTACACGGTTGTCGCCTCTCTGGATATCTGGATATAAACAACACACATTTCTATAATATAAAAATTATATTGACTGTATTCCTTTAAAAACCTTACCTGTGGTAATATAATTCCAAAACTTCTTGGCCATTTTCAGACACTGCCATTATGATAGAAATCTAATTAAAATGAAATAACACAGAAAGAACAAATGGACAGGTAATAATAATATAATTAAAAACTGATAGTCTCCTAAGTTCTTGTCACATTTGCTTATTTGTCTTTAATATCCACTTAACATTATAATAACATAATACGAATTTTAATAAGGCATTATTATTTTTAAAAATATATGTTTTCATCCTCTTGTATAGTATTGACTGCTTGGATGTATCTTATTTTTGGTTGATTTAGTTGATTTACTATTGCCTACTGATACAAATAAAGTAAAAAATGAAAAAAAAAGGAATTTTGAACTTAATTTTCCAAACAACTTTATACTAATATATATTTTTGAAAAGCTTAAATGATTTACAATTAATGCAAAGACACGGTGTTGTCGAAACAATTGTCATGTCATAATATATAATTTCGTGAAAATCTGAACTTTTAGTTCTTATTTATTTTGATTAATGTAAAAAATGATATTTAAGATATTCAGTTTAAAGAAGAATATACGTTTGCTTCATAATTAAAAACGGTTAGAGCAAGTAAAAAACAAACTACGTCACTGGATTCCGAGGAAGAAAACCTATATGAACGTTTTTTAAAATCTTTAATTTCACGGCATCTTTAATTTCACAAAAACGTAGCACAGTGGCGCAGTTTTAAAAAAGCACTTCTCATTAAGCTATTTTCCCGTGTCTCTTTCTCTTGTCCATCTCCCTGCCGTCCTCTACATAAGTGAATACATTGAGTTATTTATTACAGTTCTTTTTTCTACACGTATAATTTGTAATTCAGAATAATAAACTTTTTTATTACTAATTGAAACAAATATCAAGTAGGGAGTCACAGAATTTAAACCCCAAATAACACGGCAGTATGCATAAAACAATAAATCACCATTAAATGTAAACGTCATAATAGTAATCAAAATGTCTATTTTCTTAACCGCACTATCGAGACTTTTTATTACGCCATATTAATGATGCTTACTCGATAAAAATATTTACGGCCCATGCGTAAAATTGCATAGTCGCTGTACGCGGTGTATTTAAACTTATGCTAATAAGACCCGTTTCTAAAATAATTCAGATTACTTTTTTCACTAGAAAGGCCAAAAGTTGATGTTGGTAATATATGCCGCATATTTTTTATACTATGGTGATATTTTTTGATAGAATCGACGTTCTTGCAGATCGATTCGACGTCGATAAAAAACGTTTTTTGTTGTTTTTTCTCTGTTCTCTGTTCTGCGTAATGGACATACAGGAAATGTTTGAAGTTGGACAACATTCAAACGGTACTAGGCGACCCGGATTTTTTTTTTAAATATAGTTAAGGAAAAAATATACAGGGTGTCCCAGTTAGGGGCAAAAATCTGAAAATTGCCATTTTCCGTTATTGATGCAATTTGTGCATTGTGCAATTTTGGCCGTTTCACCATTTCTGGACTTCCGGTATGGCAATAATGGCCGCATAACTTTTCTAAAATAACGACTGAATACAATTTGCTAGCGTAGAGTTTAATGACCCTACCAATAGATATTTTCCGTGATATTTAAATCTAAAATCACTTTCTGCATTACGAAGATTACCTGTAATATGCAAGTCATATATGGATCCGATAGAATTGGAAATTACACTTATTAGAGAAGTTTAAAGTTTAATGAGATAGTTTATCCTCATACACGCCATAAATTTGCTTTTCCCAAAGTTAATAATTGTTGTCGCACGTCGATCAAACCACAATTTTAAAACACTGATATCACGTTCTCCAGGAGTCTCTATGTAATATCGCTACAGCATCATCCGTGAAGTGTCCAAATATGTGCGAAATCAAACCTATCTTTTTTTAAATGAAGCACGCTGTATTTTATACCATTAATGGATACTCTCTTCTATAGTGGATCTCCCAATGTCGCGCGATTTAGTAGTTTTATATTGTTTCTTTTAGTTTCATCTATAATGTTTGTATTCAACAGTTTTCTCTACTTTTTCGACACAGTATTTGGACACCTTGTTTATAAATAAGACACAAGCTGAAAAGGCGATTGAAAAAAATTTCAAGTACAAGATAATGATTGACAGAACTGACTTCTGAACACTATATTGACTTTGGACATGAAAGTTTCTAGCGATTTTTTTTTATATTTCAAGTCGAAATCTAGCCGATCTTTATATTTTTATATGTTTATATTTTTTTATAGCTTTATATTTTTCTCTACGAGTTAAGTTTCCAGATTCGTCGGCGTTATTATTCTCCTGGTGGGACAATAAAAGAAAATCAAGAGAAGTGATAAGATAACCAGCCATTATTAGATTCCATCAAATAGAATTAAAAGGCAATTGTGTATTGTTTTTGTTGATTATTTAATTCTTTCATTGCAGTATTTGCATGACAGTCGAATCAATGCAAGCAAATGTTTTGTTAATTTCCTATTATTTAACTGTAACTTAAATTACGAAAGTAAATATATATAATAAATGTACATTGTGCATTTTGACACTAATTTCGAACTCCGTCTTTCAGATCTTCCACTGAATTTAATTTTTTAACATAAAATATGCTACAAGATTGATTTATAATCAGCTAGGTCGTCAGACCTGACACCCTTGGACTTTTTTCTTGTAAAATTTATTAGTTCTTTTCTGAATGAACCGTTTATATCTTGGGGTTATATGAAATGCCTTAGGACCATAACTTTAGCAAAAATCACAATTCTTGGAAACAGAACAATAAATGCGAATTGCCTAATATAAAAAAAAACTTAATTAAATTTGATTAAATTTGTTATTCGCAATAAAAAAATAATTTTTATGCTTTTTATTGTTTTGTTTTTTTTTATTATTTTTTTTTAAATCTACCTCTTATGCATGCATTAATTTTATTTATTATATTTAGATTTATTGTTTTCTTGACTGAAAAAAATAAATAAAAACTGGAAGTTCAGATTTTCACGAAATTATATATTATGACATGACATGACATGTTAATTAACAAATTAACAAAATGAGACATTCAAATGTATTGCTTAACGATCATTTAGATTTAAATACCTCTCCTTTATTAAACTTAACGACTTAACGACATTAATTAAGGTTTAATGGTCATTTTTCGGTATATATAGTAGCAGGTAGTTTGTAAATATTAGATTTGCATCCTAACACCCCTGTAATTTCTTACTTAAATTAAATAAAAGTTAAATAATAGAAAAGCAATTAAACGTTTGTAAGCATTCATTTGGCTCTCTTGAAAAAATCGACTAATTAAATGTTTGTAAAATTGGTATGCGAATAGAAGGTGAAAAGACCTTTAAAAAGAGGTACCACACGACCCCTCTTACAAAAAGAAAAATTTTTAAAATGGCGCCCTGCTCTCGTTTTGACATTTTAAGCATCCAGGAGCCATAATATTTTCTAAGGTTTTAAAGATATCATGTCGTCCATTGCTAAATCATCGCGGTTGACGTTCACTTTAATCTTTGTCAAACATGTTCATACCTACATGCGCATACTCCGTCTGGATTCTGGTAGGCTTGGCTGCTACACGTTATCAATCTCGTCGTGTTGACCTTCGTCCTGGGGAAGCAAGACCAAGCGTCCCAAACCACAGGGCAGTACTCGGCGGCTAAAAGGAATTTATATTATTTTTAATACTCAGGACCGGATAAAATGCAATACATTTTATATCTGCTTGGTACAAAACATGCATTTTTTCCAATAATTGCATCGCTGGACTGGAGCCTCGATTATAATAAGAACATGCTTATTTAAATTAAAAATAAAACATCATATTTTGTATATCGAAAAACTAAACAAATGAAAATTCTCCCCAAAATCCTTAAGCCGTGCGGGATTTACCCTGCGAAATATTGCAGAAAATGACTTTATCAAATGTTTAAAGGAATTGCTAACCTACATAACACAAAAAATTTTAAAGCACTTAGTCTTATTATTTTCGACATTTTCCCCTTTTTTGTTATTTATTTTATTTATTTTTATTGCTTCGAAGCTTATAGATAGGAAAAAAAAATTCAGATGTTTTTTAAAAGCACTTCAAAAATGTAAAATCTTTGGCCTATTTGCATTGCTTCCAACCGATTGGAAAAACTCAACAATTTGATTGTCATCAGACAGTGTTCCGACAGAGAAATTCATACTCCTTTTATCGAATGCTGCAAAATATATGCTTAAATGAAAACCGATTGAAATGATTTAATTCATCAATTTATTACAAAAATAAAATACCCTGTCACTGTAAGATTTTTGTGTTATAGATTTAAGGGTTTTTTTGTTTCATTCATGTCTGTTCAAATAGGTCTGTGGTGCAGGTAAAAAAATAAAGAAATTCTGGAGAACTGGATTCATTATAAAGACTTGGTTCTGGGTTTATTTAAAATTAGGTAGGACTCGTTATAGGAAAGGCACCTAATATGAGCTTGGCGCCTATTACGCGACACCATATTTTTCCCCATCTAACGGTCGCCATCTTGCGATGGCGTCATAAATTAATGCACCACAAGGTGAAGTAGGACATCAGCCGGAATTGGTTTTAGTTGCTGTCAAAATACGGCACGTTTTATGAATTGGTGCATTATCAAAGTTTTTTTCGTGTTCCGTTGGAGGCGAGTTTTTCTATAAAATGTAGGTTTTGATTTGTGAAAGGTGCTTTATTGTTGTAAATAAATAAAACGCGTACAAACTTATGTGATGTTCGGAAAAAAAATATATAAGTAATTTCTCCATAAGATTCCTAATATGATATACAACAAGAATCTTAATATGAGATATATTAGGACCGCTCTTAGTTTTTTGCAAATTTAAGTAACTATTTTTTTGCATATGCATAAGAAGACAGTGAGATAAGTTTGATGTCTGTATAATACCTTTGCTGTCAAGTTTGCCAATTTATCAAAAAAAGTGACACATTTATTTTGATGTGGCTTCGATAAAAGCTTGCTCATTCCATCCGTTAAGCTTTCTAAACAACATTTTTTATTTTCCGAACCACTGGACGATAACGAAGGACAACAGAAGTGCAGAGGATCTTGTAAAAGTATTTTTGAGAGAAAGTATATTGTCAAGCATATGGCGTTTCGGTTAGCAATTAAAAATAGTTCAAAGCATCCTCTAAGTGGTGGAAATGGAAATATCAAAAAAAACTAAAAAAAAACTAAAAAAAAAATGGTGATGCTGTAATATATTTTCAATACATTGTCTTTAAAACAAGTAGTATCATGTGTTTACTATTTAAAAAATAACTAATATTGCCACAAGTGACATACGGATCATTTTGATTATGTCATTATACGTGACAGCACAATTGGTCAGACTGAAGTTTATCTAGATCACAACTGCAGCAATTTTGAAGAAGGATTTATGAGGTCTCTTCTAGTCTAAAGTTCTGTGGCCTTACTGCTGACGATGTTCTCTCCCGTCATCGCGTTCGAGCAGCAATGTTCCGCCTCTTCGCAACATTTGACGAAGTTGTCGAACAAGGAATCTGACTTGAAAGATCGTCTGAGGAGCGCCGCGGACCTGGCGTCCTTATAATCGAACGAAAACACTTCCGAACCGTTGACGGCGACGGGGACATCAAAAGTGAGGTTAAGACGGTCGCAGCTGGCCGGCACCACCACGTACTTGTACTTGAAGTTGAGCCTGAACTCGTTCGTGTAGTTGTAGCAGTAGAAACCGGCGTAGTGGTTCCACTTGACTTGGGAAATTTGCGAGCCCCTCAAAGAGCAAGCCTTCGTTATGTCCTGAAAATGAAAAATCGCTGGGAACGAGAATCGATCGTAAACTTTGGGGAAAATTGACACACTCGGCAACGCCGCGCTTTGTTTTTCTCTTTGTCTACAATGGAAATTAACTTCGCACGCTTTAAGAATTACTTTATTAAATACTTGCACGGAGTAAGTCAACTTTTGAGTAAAGTTTATTATCTCATTAGTTTCAAAAGTTATGAGAAAATGATAAAGATAAAGATAAAGATAAACTAACCAATAAGGAAAAAATTGGATTACTACGCATTATAAAATAGTTCTAACTTAAAACTTAAAAATATAATAAGAAATTTTAATTTCTCTTTTAAATTTAAAGTCGATAGCTGCAAAAACATAAAACACCCTGTACAATATGCGAAAACTCTAAATAAAAAAGTATTAGCGGTCCATACGAACTATATAGTATGTGACAACTGAAGCATAGCTTTTTAGCTTTTTAGTTTTTACGACTACCGAGCACACTTTGAACATTTTTGAAACTTTTGAAGAATAAACATTTATAGAATCTGATGTTGTGGATACGTTTTTTCAAAAATTTTTTAAATCGTATCATCGAGAATTGATTTTTTTCTTGGACCCTTGGGAACGCTATTTTTTTTTAATAGTTTCCGACCCCCCAGACCTTCACTTTCAATAGGCTTTGCTACGGAGCTGGGTTCCATACTTGTGTCAAATTTCATTTCGATAGCTTGAAATTTCAGACACTTATCGTGTTTCATAGCGATATCCAAAAAGCAGTCGACAATCTAAAAAAAAGATGCACTCCGATGCCCGATTGTAGCCATTTCCTACGAGCTGACGTGTCTCACGGGCTTTTTAAAAGGGTTGCAGTCTGGACGCCGTGGCTCTAACGGTTCGATTGCTATGGCGATTTAATGCCCCATCGACAGAGAAACGGAGAACGGAGAATAAAAAATAAAGATTTTTTTTTCGACGCTGATCATTTTTATACCAATGGGGGTCACGTTGCTGACATATAAGTTCCGCAAAGCAAGCAAATTTACTATAAAAATGACTACAGTTAATAATCACTAGGAAACATGATTTTAACCATATAAAGAGCAAAAATTATGTTTTTATAAGTGTTTTAAGTTAGATCTATTTTATGATGCGCAGTAATCAAATTTTTCCTTATTGCTTCGTCGCGCTTTTGTGAGCCACCCCGTATACTTTATAATAATTTTAAACTGTGGGCCATAACAATCTTCATTATTTTCTCATAACTTTGGAAACGAATGAGATAATAAACTTTACTCCATATGACAATTATTTTTTTTTACAGTTAATGTTAAAAAATACCACCCATTTGAGCACCATTTTCCTGAACACATTTCTCATACACTCTAATTGTATGATGTCTTGCATTTGGTAACGTTTCCGGATTGTCACTAAACTGATTGATCCACGACATTATTACAAGGAGTTTTGTGCACGTTAATTTTTATGTGTCCCACTATACATTAATTGAATGGTACCCCTAGGTTTTTATTTCGCGTATTTGTCTAGGCTTATTTAAATACTAATATCGCATATTGTGTCTATTATAGCCCTTTCTTCTAGTGAACGAACTTTTATCAGCCCATAAAATGTTTTTCAAAATTGTTATCATTTATTAATTATTATTATTCTCAATATGCCTATTTAAAAAAACTGCATCCTCCTTTGAAATAATTAATTTTTATATTTTGCGAAATTTAAATGCATTGTATTTATATTCTTTCAAAACCGATACCCGAGAAATACCTGTCTCTTCATATAGTAATAGGGGAAACTGGATGTGCTTCATAGAATCCTACTATATTTGTCTTATTTTGTTCATTTATCACTGTGTGATTCCGGCATACGTTTTTAGCATTTCGTACGTTACCGTTTCCTGCAAATTTCTTTGCCAGTCTTGGAAATATCTGTTCTGAAGGAGCTCGGCGCTTTGGATAATGTCTAATAGACTGACGAAGAGCTGTCAATATTCTTTTTTTTGTCTATTCCAACCCTTTCTTGTTGTGAACGAACTTTCATCAGTCCACAAAATGTTTTTCAAAAGATTATTATTCTCATTATGTATATTTAAAAAATCCAAAGGAAACTGCATCCTGCTTTGATTTAATTTTTAGGTTTTACGAAATTTAAATGTACATTAACCAATGCAGATACAGACGATTCCTGCTAAGTAACAGCGTAATTAATTTTGCCATTTGTAACGCTGAAAAATCATCTACGCATATACATAAAGCAGAGGTTAAGCCATTTGGCTCTTCTTCTTAGTTAAAACGCCGCCCCACGAGTGCGTTTAAATTTCGGATTAACTTCAAACGTTACGGCGCGCTACTGGATTTAAATCTGACGCCGCAAAAAAATACGCGTCAGATGCTGGTACTCGATATCCGGTTGATTAAACAGCGATTAAAGCGATAAGCCCCTTTATCCAGATTATTGTTTATTGGCCCAATATATTCCTTTTAAAATCCAATTTTAATCGTTGTGCGGTATTTGGGACGGAAAAATCGACAAAAGACAGATCTGGGAACAGCCACCTTTTGAATTCCATCAGTGGTAAACGTAAAGGTTTTCAAGACAAAGGGACGCATTGTTTTACTCGCGTCTACCCGCGGCCCACTATGGAACTTTCGCGAAATCGATGTAATTGAATCGTGCACGCGCCCTGTATAAAGTGTCTTTCACGTAGAACTCCAAAGAAAAGGCACACTTTGGTAAATTCAAACATTTGTACCGTGAGTTCAATTTATCTTGATAACATTTTAATAACGTATTGATATACGAGGTCTGTCAATTAGATTCCCGGAAAAGTGGCAACACTGCGACTCTCGTTATGCTACGGCGTTCGCGTTGTGTCATTCGAAAGAGGATTCATTTCTGCGTCAGTCTGTGCAAGTTTCGTCTCGATCGGTTGTTCAGTTCGTGTGTTACAGTACTTTGATCATCGGCGTGTTTGGACCCCTTGTCGCGAAAATGTGTGCTAAAAAAACTGAACAAAAAATAGTGATCAAATTTTTGGTCAAACGTGGTGTAAGTTCCGCGGAAATTATGAAACAGTTAACCGACGTGTACAAGGATGATTGCCTGAAAAAAACAGCTGTCTACGAGTGGGCTAAGCGGTTCAGGGAAGGCAGGGAGTCGGTGGAGGACGATTCACGTGAGGGAGCTCCCTCCACCTCTCGAACGGCACAAAACGTCGATCGCCTGCGCGTGCGTGTGCTCGGAGACCGTCGGGTAAGCCTCAGAATGTTGGAAGACGAGTTGGGTATCAACAAGGAAACCATTCGACAGATGCTACACGAGGATTTAGGGATGCGCAAGTTGTGCGCGAAAATGGTTCCCAAAGTGCTCACAGTTGAGCAGAAAGAGCTTCGTTTATCCATCTGTGAAGACATGATTTCTCGAATTGAGGAGTCTTGGGTGTTCCAGTATGACCCTGAGACCAAACGACAGAGCATGCAGTGGGTGGCAAAGGAGGGGAAGCGCCCCACAAAAGCCAGAATGTCGAAATCAAAAGTGAAATCTTTGCTCATGGCATTCTTCGATATTAATGGAGTTGTACACCACGAATACGTTCCAGCAGGTCAGACGGTCAATGGGAAGTTCTACATTGAAGTTTTGAAACGTCTGAAGGCCCGTGTGTTTCGTGCACGGCCGGAATTGGCCGAACGTGGATGGGTGCTGCATCACGACAACGCTCCAGCCCACTCCTCATTCGCAGTTCGCGACTTTTTGACCAAAAACGGCATTCCAACGCTTCCGCACCCCCCCTACAGCCCGGACCTGGCCCCCTGCGACTTTCATCTCTTTCCACAATTGAAGTCCTACCTCAAGGGCAACCGATACGACGGCGTCGAGGAGGTGCAACGTGTCACGACACGGGTGCTGAGGGACCTATCTTCAGGGGGCTTCAGGGGGTGCTTCCAATGGTGGATCCAATGGTGGCGCCGGTGCATCGAGCTAGAGGGAGACTACTGCGAAGGATTATAACTTAATTTTAAGAATTTATGTATATTCCGGACCGTCCGGGCACTTTTCCGGGAATATAATTGACAGACCTCGTACAATGAAAAGGACACGGTTCGGTTGAACAAAATAAGATATCTTGTGCCTCCGTTTTTAAACCTATCCTAAGAAGAAGGTAGCAGCGCCAGGCAGGAAAAATACTCATAAAAAAATATATAGATAAATACCTTGTACGATCTGTGCAAATAGAGGGACTTACACTTTGGAAGTAGTTTACAGTAGACATTACTTAAATATTTAATTAAAATAATACTTCACGCAGGTGTGTGGAAAAGGTATTGTTTAGCAATTTAAGAGATTGATCCAATGCATTACATGTTTTAGCCATGTCATATGTAACGGATCTTTCAAAAATTCCAGAGGTATGAGGTGGAGGGTGAGCAGGACTTTAAATTTAATAATAATTGTGAACGTCCGTGCGAAATCTGATTTTTTTTGAAAAGACAGCGTGAAGACTTCGATCTTATAATTTTGTGATAAAGATTACATTTATGGAGATATCGTCGATTTTTCATATTAAGCCATCGGACTTCCTTCAGTTTATGACTAACAGGCCTGCAGCGTTTAATCCCAAAAATGAATGTTAGACAGTATTTCTGGATTTTTTGAGTCCGTTCTGAGGCAGCCGCTTTCAGACATGGACCATACACGACATCACAGTGGTTAAAAGAAGATAAAACTATCGAATCACATAGGACCTTTTTTGATGATTGATTTAAAATATTTTTAGAACCATATAAGCATTTTAAGTGAGGAATGGATTTTTTAATACATTGTGTAAAGTGACTGTCGACCATAAGCCCAAGGTTTTTTGCCTATGTTTTCAGAGGAATGCACTCATTCGATATTTTTATTTCAACTAGAACTTTGCTATAGATTTTTTTGGATTTAAATGGAGTGAATGTTCTGGGGACATCCTGTTAATGATTTCTAGATCATTATTTATGATTTGACAGCTTTCCAAAATTTTATCTCCCGAAAATCAGTAATTAACTTGTGTATTACCTGCATACATTTGGGTTTTACAATGCTGCATAAAACTAGGAAACGCGGACGTATATATACAGTATAAAATTGGCCCCAGAATGGAGCCTTGAGGCGCCCCAGATATTATAGCACAGCAGTTTGATTGATGTCCATTTAGAACCACTTCTGTCTACGACCTTGTAAGTAGTTCACCATCAATTTGACAGCACCCTCATCAAGCCCTATGTATTTTAGAACGGTTAGCAAAGTATGGTGACTCAAAGTATCAAACGCCTTAGAGTAAACCGACATCACCAAGACGTTTAGGAGAGCAGTTGCACAACTGTGCCCCTTCCTGAAGCCAGACTGAGTTTCAGGAAGAATACTATTTTTCTCCAAATGATCAATCAGTGGCGATTTAATGACATTTTCCAGAATTTTGGAAACTACAGACAAAATGCTAATAGGGCGTAATTCACTATAACTTCTGGGACTTTTAGTGTTAGAAAGATGCACAATATGTGCGATCTTCCACTTGGCAGTAATTGTTGGGTTTTTAGAGATATCAGGGAAAACATAAAACAAAATGTGGACACACTAAAGTAAGAAATTGTTTAATACAGCTGCATATGACCGCCATTTTTCTGAACACGTACACTCTAATTGACGTTTCCGGATTGTCTTCTAATCTAAATCTTCAATATATTGTTCTATTTGATGCTCCAAGAGCTGCAAATAATGATCTCTATATCGGACCCAAAATATGCCTATCTATGACACCACACCATACATTAATTGATTGGTACCCCTGGGTTTTTATTTCTTGTATTTGTCTAGTATTATTTAAATACTAATATCGCGTATTGTGTCTATTACACCCAGTCTATTAGTGAACGAACTTTTATCAGCCCATAAAATGTTATTTTTATTATTATTATTCTCATTATGTCTATTTAAAAAAACTGCATCCTCCTTTGACATTATTAATTTTTGTGTTTTACGAAATTTAAATGCATTATTGTTATATTCTTTCAAAACTGATACCCGAGAAATACCTGATACCTTTCAACTGATTTTTGCGCGCATTATCTTCGATATTTTGCATTTCCATGGCCGCCTTGTGTTGTTGTTCTTTGTGTTTTGCTTTGGTTCTGGTTTATTTTCAGTGTTCCTATTCTGGAATACTGCCTCTAGAATAATAAGCATAGCGCGCAGGCGTGGAAAAAAGTAAATTCCAGTTTACCCAACCTTGGTTTATCTGTGGTACATTGGACGATCAACAATCTCCGCATTCTAGAATAATTTTACTTACGTATTCGTCAGGAGGACAGTACTCGAGCCGCTGATCGGAAGCGTGCACCTGTCAAGAAAACAAATATACGGCATAGAAAAAGATTTTTTTCGGATTAAAAATAAATTCGTTGCCTTTCGATAGGTGGCCGTAAATATTTCGCTAGGCGTTAAGACCGCGGACGAGGAGAGATATATCGTTTTAATCAAAATATTTGAATTATATCTGCGAAGTACCTAATTTTCCGAAACGTTGTGGTTTACACGCGGATCGAGGAAAAAGAGCTTCGCTACCATTAATTAATATTATTTATGCTGGTTATCTTTATGGAGGATGACCCATAAATAATGATACGTCGCAAAATAGGAGGTCCTTTAAGAAAAAATATTGCTATTTAACGCAACTTTACTTAGTCGAAAAGTTGATACTAACAGAGGTACAAGGTGTTTTTTGTGACAAATGGTAGAGGGCGCTACCTACGGCACATTTAGTGCATTCGATACCTCATAACTTTTTTGGGCCTTTGTATATACAGATTTTTAATAGAGATATTAATTCTTGCCACTTTTTTACACATTTTTTTTTAAATTTCGCCAGTAGTGGAACTTTACAAGAAATTCGCATTTGACATTTTAGATGCACAGTTTCATGTGAACATGCAAAATCGTCAAAGTAGGCGTGCGGAGTAAGCGGTAACGAACACAGACATGAAAAGATACCTGCAAAATAGAGGCACTTTGCTCCTTGTCATAATCTCGGCCCTTTTGAAAAAGTTTTGGCTAAATCACAGTTTTTCAAGAAAAAAAAAACTTAAACTATTGAAATAGTCCATTTGTTTATAATAAATTTATAATGGAGCTATTTTTTTTTTAATAAATGTCTTTTGTTAACATAAAAACGGTAAGGAAATGAAATGAAAAAAGAAAAACGACGTTACGATGAATTCTCCTTCTTTGTTAACGCAAAAAAACTACTAAATTTAGTTAAACTAAAACTAAACTAAAAAACTAAAAAAATTTTATGGCAATTATTTAAATTTTATTTTTTAATTTCCAGTTTTCCAGGAAGTCCCGGAAAAAGTTTTTGATTGACAATGGTCTACTTTAATGGAAAATTAACTTTAATGAAAAATGCCAACGAGAATCAGTTTTTCGAAGTGTTTAGATTATGCCATATTTTTTTATTTTAAAATTCAGCTTATTTACCCTCAAAAAAATGTCTATTGTAACTAACCAACTAAGCCGCGCAAGGCAATTTTCAACGTTAAATTAAAATTATTAATAATGGGGGTACAGTTTCGAGAATCCGAACTTTTTTTTAGTAAATTTCCTCCTCATTCATATGCAGCTTTGCTACGTAACGGCACCTATTAAAAATGGGGAGGCTGGGGGGTCGGGAAGTTTACAAAAAACATCATTTTTACGAGACCAAAAAAATTCTTGAACCAGAAGATACGGCTCCACAAACTGTTATTCTTGACAATTTTTCAAATATGTACAGGGTGCGAAGCAAATTCAAAAAAACTGAAAAATGTATATTATTGTAAATTGGTTGTAACTGAAAGACTATGATTCCGATCTCATTTTCATTTACATTGCGATATAGCCCGCCTAGACAGCTAAAAATATTGTATTTAAGGTTTTCACCTAGCGTGCAGGCTGTTCCCGATATTCCGTGCCAAATGAGAAATGTGATGAGTTTAGCAGAGGAGTGAAAGTCCGTGTCCACATTTCAATGGTAGAAATTAAGTGCAATCAAATTTTTGAAAAATTTTACCTTCTAGAAAAATATGTTTTCCTCCAGAATCGTTAACCGGATTGGCAAAATTCTTTAACCAACAGACGCGGAAGATCCAGTGCAATAATATTCATTTCAGACATTTTTTCGAGTATATACCGGGTTTTCAAATTATAGGCGAAAATCTAAAGGATCTAGAAAATTGTTCTTTTACAGAGTAAATTATTATCGTAAAAAAATATGGGTAATTGATTGAAACAGTGTCATAGGCCGCATCAAGAGCTACAATTTTTGTATTTGCGGTTTTCGTCACATAAGCTGCTGAAAAAATCCATATTGAAATTGTTATTCTGGAACTGTCATTGATTATTACACTTGACAACGCTATGATTCGTGCAAATTTAAATATGTACCGATGTTTGCTGTAACTTTGAAGTTCGACGAGATGAGAAGGACATTTTATACAGCTTGCAGGAACAATTAAATTACGTGGATTTTGCGAAAGTTCCGTAGCGACCCGCAGGAGCACGAGAGAAAAAATGTTGTTGAATAAGTCCTCTACTGGTTTTGCATTTTGCACGATTATTCAACACTGCCAGAAATGGTCAACACCGAAGCAGCATATCAGAAGGAAACATATCTGGGCCACCCCTGCCTTGTCACTCAAGTGGGAATAAATGGCTTTACCCAATAACAATAGGCCATAACATCTTTGAAGTAAGCCAACAAGGTGAAGATTGAGACGGACTACATATAACTGAAAGCTTCTATCTATCCAATGGTGCGTTTGGATTGATAAAGACTAAGACAATTAACTTTTGGAAATTTGGAAACGATATATAATCGCAGCCATAGTAGTCGAAAGTTTATTTACTTCGAATGGAATTTTGCGCAGTTGGTGTTACGCAGTACTCAATGAGAGATAATAAGCTGGAATTCCCCTTGGATTGAGCTTTTTGGAATTACCGGTAGAGGCGTCTCTCGCTAAGCGACGCTTAGAATATTCTCGAGTATATCTGAACAGTTCTCCAAAGTAAACGACTTATGCTTGAAGTTCTAGTTGCTATAATATATATATATATATATATATATATATATATATATATATATATATATATATATATATATATATATATATATATATATATATATATATATATATATATATATATATATATATATATATATATATATATATATATATATATATATATATATATATATATATATATATATATATATATATATATATATATATATATATATATATATATATATATATATATATATATATATATATATATATATATATATATATATATATATATAAACAATTACTATTGGCAGGACTGTCACGAAGTGTCCGAAATCAATTAGCAAGAAGAAAGAGCAGCACTCACCTGCCGCAGATTGCAGGAGACGCAGCAGAGCACCAAAGTAACCGAGATATATCGCGAATTCATAGCCCAATATAAACTAATAACGATCCGATACCCTAATACTTGGGATTATATCGTTAATCTTATCTCGCCACCGATTTGTCGCAATCCGTGACGATAAAACGCGGCGACTTGTGAAAAATTGTGACGACGTCCATGTCGGCCCGATGGGTTCGAGTCAAATGGCACATAAACCGTCTCGCCTTTTCCATCTTCCCAAAGTGTTCGTATTTTTAGAATGCGGACGCTCAAAACGTAAATAAGACGATTTAACGGCGACCGGCTTCAAAAACCGAAAGACATTAAAGGTGTTTAGTGTAAACCGAAAAATTTCGAGGTATATTTTTATTTATCGACGGCCGCTGCGCTCGCTGTGGCGTTAATTCCTCGGATATGTCATTCTAAACCAGTGGTGGGGAAACCATTTTTAAGACGGGCCATTTGTAATCACTAGACTATCGTAGCGGGCCAAAGAATAACGCTTAATCGTTAAAAAAATTATGTGGTTTATACTACTAACTTCTCGAAAATGATCTTAAAGATAGGTCCCAACTGGTTTATTTTGATAATTAACTTTCAAATGCTAAGGAACTAAAATATGGAGTACCGCAAGGTTCCATTTTGGGTCCGCTGTTGTTTGTTGTTTAGGTGAATGATTTGGGTCATCACCTAATTTCTGTAAAATGTTCCCGTTTCGCGGGTGACACGACATTTATTACTTCTAGTACCAGCATGAAACTGAAACTCTGTTACTTCTAAGAACTTTTTAGATTTAGCAGAAAAATGGTTTAGTTAAAAACGTTAAAAATATCTACCAATTCGATGTTAGCAGAGGGAAACAGTGTAAAGCTTTTCGGCCTCAGTTTGGATGACAAATTATCGAGGTCACAACATACCAATGAACTCTGTAGAACTATATCTAGTTTAATATTATTGATCCGAAGACTTCGGTCCTACATAATCTTTGACACCCTTAAAATTTGTTGTTTTGCACTCCTTCATTGAAAAATTTCTTATGCAATTCCCTTATGGGGAAGTTAGGGTTATGTGTGGTATGCATTATCGTACCCACTGCATGCCCCCCTTTCTGAGACACAGAATTATGCCCTTGCCGTGCACGTTTATTTATTTTACTGTAATAGAAATGAATCATAAAACCACTCTTATAATTTAAGGTTTGATTTAATCACTATCAAGCTGCATAAGTTAACGAAATCTGTTTCTAATTCCTTGAATAATAAACAAAAAACAACAATGAAAGAATACCTGCTTGGCCATTGTTTTTATTCCGTTCAAGAATACCTTGATAGCAATTTTTGTTTTCGACAAAAAAGGAATTAAACGTACTTTATGAAATGTATATTGCCTCTTTTAGTGTTTTTATTTTTGTCTCTTGTTCTTTTCTTTGTATTTAAACTGTATTGTTATTTATATTTGTTGTTATATTGTAAGGTGGTGTTTATATTTAATTGTTTTACTTTTTCTATTTAAACTGTATTTTCAAAATTGTACAATGTTATTACTCTGATCTGCTATAATGTACTTTGTACAAAAATAGTTAACAATAAATCTATCTATATATATATATATATATATATATATATATATATATATATATATATATATATATATATATATATATATATATATATATATATATATATATATATATATATATATATATATATATATATATATATATATATATATATATATATATATATATATATATATATATATATATATATATATTATATATATATATATATATATATATATATATATTGGGACTGTTTTATCAAAATTTCATCATAGTCCGGTTCCATTTGTGAAACAGAAATCCTTAAAATTGATGATAGTTGCTCATGTGTAATCCTGTTTCTTAAAGAAGTTTTCCTAAGCTTCACTCTGGAAAATATTTCTTCGCATATATAACGCGAGCCGAACATTGTCATTATCTTCATTGCATGAGTAATTAGATTTGAGAAATTACATCATGCTCGGAAACGAATCATATTTACTAGTTTTACAAAAATATTAAGTATATGGTCAATATCTAAAGGCGATTTACAGAGAGCATCCTGATGTATAAGGCAATGCAAAAAAACAACATCATTTTCCGGATACTTAGAAATAAATTTCCCAACAAATCCTTCATTGATTCCAACCATATTAGGAGCACCATCTGTAGTTACATTGCACAACTTATCAATAGGTTTATCGACGAGATTTTCAAATTTCAAAAACTCCTGCAAGTTCTTCTGTAATTTGAAATTGGGCGTTGATTCCGCTTAAAAATATGAGTAAACGCGCAGTACCGCTGATATCTGCACTTTCATCCGCGGTAATTGAATAAAAAATAAATTTTTGAGCTTTTGCAGTCAGTTGTGAAATTAAATTTTAATCAATATTTTCAATTCTCTCGGTAACTGTTCTTCTTGAGACAGATAGTGACTGAAAATCACTTTTCTTTTCAGGGCGCATAATATCGCACACACTATGATGCACTGCTTTATAAATTCTCCATCTGAAAATGCTTTATTAGATTTAGCAATATTATGGGCCAACACATAACTGAAATAATTGTTGTTGACTTGATAATTTTTTTATTAAATCTTTCGATTTCATTTTTTTTCACCTCTTCACTTAACGATGAGTAGGAGTGGTGACCCAATGTTAGGCCTGTTTTTCTATTAATAAGAATATCTAAGAAAGGGAGGTTGTTATTAGTTTCTATTTCAATGGACGGATTTACATCTCTAAAGAAGGTTTGATTATGGGAAACCCACTTAGTCCTTTGCTAGAAGAGTTTTTTATGGACAATTTGGAAAATATCATACTAGAACATCCTTTAAGTAAAAGTTTTCTATGGTGGTATAGATACGTGGATGATGTTTTTGCTTGCTTTGTTGGAACGGACGTATAAAATTCACTATCGAACATATTTACCATAAAGCTTCACACAAGGACACAGTCATACATAACAGCCCAAATCACCCTTATACACACAAAATGGCTGCATTTCACTCTTTTATACACAGACTTCTTAGTACGCCACCCTTAACAGAAAATTACAACAAAGAACTTAATATCATTAAATAATTTGCTATAATAATGGTCAAAATTAATAATATCATAATAAGATCATAACGTTTCTTGTGAAATCCATCTTGATTCACGTCTATGTCATTCTTTATCATGAGAAATAATTGGATATAAATCAAGACTTTGACAAAATGACTATAATTAACTACATCTGCGGCATCACCAGGCTGTAGGATTACTTCAATCACTCGTGACTATAGTCAAACTTGTTGCATAATACGCTATTTTTTTCTGTTTAAAAAGACATATTTCCCCCTTGTATATTTGCACCGTTTCTTTATTTAATATTAATATTTATTAAGTTTTGTCACGAGTCATCCCTACACTCATAACAAGAAGATGCTCAGCTAGATTTTGCCGCGTCAGCTTTTAATCACGTAAAACTGTTGTTTCGCCGATTTGTTAGTTAGTCACCTGAATACGCTCTAATGTTTGTAATTTGGAAAAAATAAGTTTATAAAAACCGACTTTCGGATTCCTGTTAGAAAAGTTTTACCTTATGCCGATTCTCTTCCATGACAATAAAATTAATATTATTTTAAAAATAACATTTTTAAATACACTTTAAAAACATTTTAAATAGTCAATGTTTGTTAATTTTTGGTAAATTATAAATGAGTCCATTAACGTGCGTGGTATTACACTGTGGATTTTTCACAATTTTTTTGTAAAAAAAAAGTTTTCCCATTGCATTTTGTGTTCTCCCATTTTTTTATATTTTTTCTCTACCAAATAAAATTTTGTGGACAGGTAATGAAAATAACAAACACCACTAATCGATTTATCCGGTTTTATTAGTCTTAAAACGGCTTAAATATTGTTTTGCTTCATTGGCCTGCCGCAGGACTTGCAACAGACGCGTTTAAACGCCTTTAACTGACAGTACTTTGACAGCAGCTCGAGTACGCAATACTTGGACTCGTCTCTTCTACAATGACCGGTTTTTCGTCCCTTGCACAGGTCCGTACTGGTCTTGACCCCGGTGCAGGCCTTAGTTTTCGGAGGCGGCGGATCCCCGCAAGTGCCGTCGAGTCCGGCCGGACAGTGTGGCGTCATTATGGACACGCCCGTCCCGCAAGTTGTCGAACACTGAAACAAATTGTTTTTCAACCGCAGCAGAGACCTCTAGTGTCCACATCCAGAAGCCTCGGAGATCGTACCGTTGATAAACGTCAACTTGTGCGGCGTTGTCAGATTTACCTGTATTTTTTCTATTCTCGTATATTAATAAGATACCGTTAATTCTAAATAGATCCTCCTGTATATTATTGCATAATTTGCTAATTATAAATTGACAGTTGCCTTTTTAAAAAAATATTGTTATTATTTTCGGTTGAAGTGGTAAATTTGCAACTCCAATGGCATCCATGAAAAATAATTTTAAATATGAGAAGAGGAAGATTTCAAAGATCCTCTGTTACAACCGCGCACAAAACTAACCATCTATATTGCAAATGAAAAAATAAGTATTCCATATGATGCACATATTCAGCGTTGAAGTTGTATCGCGGTATAGCGTAAAAGTACCCACATCAGCAATAAAACAGAGGTATTGCAAAAGTTGGAGTTCTAATGACCAAAAAGATATATCGCATAGGTCATAAAAAATATTATATAGCCCTTGAATTGCCAATTATAGCAATTATATCTGGCGAATTAAAAAATAAAGTTTGATGTGAAAGAACCAGGTCATCAGGTCATCTTCGTACATCTTCTACCCAGAATCACATTCGAAAGATTGAAAAACTAACGTCGACACTAGTGAAATGATCAAACTCTTCTCAATATATCATAGCACCAACTTTCTCAGACGAAAAAATCAGTTCTTGCAAAAGGTTTGAACTTTGTCCTTGTCCCACTTATTGTCGAGTCAATCCTAAACAAACACCTCAACTCAACTAATGAAAAAACGCAAACCTCTAAATATAATATTCGAAAACCTGAACTCGATGATCTAAAATACCTAAAAGATAATCCCGACATCTTAATGCTAAAAGCAGATAAATCAAATGCTACGGGGGTCATGAACACAAGTCAATGTAAGGGAAAAAAATCGAGATCCTTCTTCAGAAGGATCTTATCGTCAACTTAAAACAGATCCTACGTCATCTATTAGAAGTCCCTATTCCGGAAACTCTCAACTTTATTTCAGACAGACCGATACCTTAATGCATTATCACATCACCATCCCAAAAATTATCGGTTATCAACTCTCTTGTTTACAGAATTAAAACATCAACTCTTTTATCAAATAATTTGAACATCACACTTCACCAAAACCTTTGAAAGGACAATGAGCCCGAAAGCAGCCTACACTGGCCGCTATTGTCCTTCCTTAAATTCAAACCAACACTGACCACTTATCAATAGGTCTTAAGAAATATAACGTCAAAACAACATCTTCGGAGAAACAATTCAAAAAATATCAACAAGGCCCAGTTGAACAGTTCAAGGTAAAGTTCTACTAAACTACGCTGGGTTTTTATAGGCCCAGCTCCACTACACCCATTTCAAGAACATAATGTTAGGTTGGTAACGTTTGTGCATGCGTAGTTGTCCTGTTCTGTCAAAAATCAGATTGCTGATTATCATTTTGTTGGTTATGTTCTCATCTTTAGCCTTTGAAACACCTCAAAAATCAGGTAATTATAATGAGTCAGTATTGCTTTGTGTGGGGAGGAAATAGAAAGCAGTACTAGAAGCAGTACTAGATAATAAAAAAGAGTAATCAATAAGAAAAGACAAACAAATTGAAAGGGAATTAAACAATGAAAATGGTCAGAGGTTTAGGGACAGTGTGACCTTAACAAAAAAATATGACAACCTACAAAGGAGAGCATTGGCAAGAAAACTGGCTGATGAAGTGTCGTGAGTCGGGAACTGGAGGAAGGCCTAAAAAGTCCCCAGAAATTACTCATATTGACTTGGATCAGCTAATCGATAAGCTTGCAAGTGAATGGGGGGGGGGGGTGAGGTGATGATTAGCAATTAATTTTTGTTCCATTATTTTTAGAAATAATTACTAACTTGTTAGCAACCACCATCTGTTAGTTAGTTAAATAATAAATTAATACGTAATATTAAAGACATAAATTTGAGGGCTGAGTTGAACCTTACAAAACAGCAAACGTCAACAAGGTCGACTCAACAATAACCGACGCAGCAGAAATCCAGAAAATTTGTAACTAGAATTACAGCAGCCTGTGGAAGTTTTTGAAAAATGCGCGGAACTGCTTCAAATATCAAAAAATAGATAAACGGCATTACTAGTCATTACATAAATGGCTGCATGAATATATAAGCCAGTTCCATTTTGAGTATCCTTTACAGTATCACCCTAAAACTATTTATTTGTTAAGGAACTCTATATTCAACGTAAACTTGGAGCTTCAGGATAATTAGTGCACCAAAAGAGTATAAATGCGACGCAGCCGCTTAAAAAACTACTAAATAAACAAAAGAACAACTTTAAACAACTAACCAAGAAGAGGTAAAAAGTACCTGAGACCAATTGCCATACTCCCAGTACCGGAAACACGGTACCCTGTTGCAAGGCCTCGTCTGTAGGGGTTTGTTGGAGTCGCGACATCTACCGGGTTCCACCATGTACCTCCATAGCTGGACTCGGTGCCCCCGATTGATCCCTATCGCGCCTGGAACACAGTAAATCTCGCGCCATTGCGTCCCTCGGTACCCACATGTCGCAGAACATGGTTCCCATTCCCCAGCAACCCATGCGAAGTCACAGCTTAAAAATTAAAAAGAAGCAATTAAATTCAAGGTGTAAACAGAGTCTCAAAATAGTATTTTTCGTACGTCAGATGTAAATCGAAAAATTTAGAAATTCAACCGGCATTTTCTTAGTTGTATGATTTTCACCTTCAGAATGCACAAAAGTGAAAAGCAAGAAAAAAATCCTTAAGTAGTTACCTCACATCACTTGACCATCCTCCGTCCATGGAGATTTCTCGAGATATCAAAATTGCTTTACCAAAATAATCGGATTTAGTTTAACCACTTAACTCAGGTAGTGGCACAACGTAAGGATTCCTATCCAAAAAAAGTTTCGCCACACAGATGGTAGCCCGGATCAAAGAACTACAGATTCCGAACTAACGAGTTTATATTCTTCAGCCGCCAGACATAATTTGACCCGTCACTACATATACAGGACACGGAAAATGAAATTAGTTGTAGAACTAAATTATCCAATACAAGATTCCAGAAGATGGGATCTGAACTTAAAGTTGGGACAAATGTTACATTTGATCTGTGCTATTCTAAGATTTCGCCAATCATCCTATTGGCTTCTTCAGAGTTTCAGTTGAGCGCTGAAAAAGCCAAGCAAGATCTATGTATCGACAAACGACGCGAGGAATCCAAAAGATTTGTACTGTATCACTGTGGTCTGTGAAAACGTTGATCTGTGTTGTTTTACGAGGCCGAACTCTGAAAGCTGCCACAATCTACCGTCACGAGGTATTTGAAATGTGGTTGGTTGAATGCTAAGAGAACCATAAGGAAGGAAATCGTTACCCGATTCTACAGCTTACAATGAAATGAATGGCAGAATAGAGGACGACAGATGCCAGGAAGAAGCCAAACAGTTGCTTGGAGTTGCTTAAAACATGGAACAAGGCACAATAAGAAGAAGAACAAAAATCGGATTTACCTACGCCACACAACTACAGATGGCGGCACAATTTTTAATTTTTTTGTTATTTAAACACGTTATTAATGAAAATTCTACTAATTAATTTACCCGAAACTGTTACAGGTCTCAGTCTCAAGGGCCGGTTTGTTCAGCAACGAGCAGAACTTTTTCCGCACGATCTTGCCCGATCGTTCGTCCCAGCACGCGTTCGTCTTCTGTCGTTTCCCGCCGCCGCAGCTAGCCGAACATGGTCCCCAGCCGCCCCTGATCCATACGAACCGAGCAGACGGCTTCAGGGAGTCCTTGTGGATCGAGTAGCTCACGCGGGAGGATACGTTCACTCCCCTGTCGACGTCGCTAGGCGTCGTCACCATCTGAAACGCGAACGTTAACTGTCTTTATCAAATGACAAGGCAGAATGAAGTATATATCTGCGAAAATGAGAAAATTGTAAAATTTTAAAAGCTGTACGGAGTAATACTAAAACCAAATAATAACTTCTGGTGGACAAGAACCACGCAGATAGAGGCAAAAGAACAGTTGAGTAGAGTGAAAATGTTATTAGAGCTATGGGCACAAAATCCACTGAATACGGTACCATTTGATTTTTGCACAGATCCACCGGCATGGCAAAGACAAGCTGTACATGGAGATAAAGGCAAGGGAAGTCCTATGAATAGCACTAGACTGAAGTACTGTTTTGTTATACATTCTTATACATTCATGTTCTCTCATCGTCTGATCGAAATTGCTGATTTGTGATCCTTTTTTTATTGTTGAAGTAATGTTCTCCTCGCATTCTTCTCATGACTGACAGATTTCCAGATTTCTAAAAGTTCCTTTACGCCATAGAATAATACCGACACAAAGCATCTCACCAACCTGATATTGATAATTGATGTCCTAATGTTTAACGTGACAGGACACAAATACCAAATAGAGAAGAATCGAAAAATAGCCCATCAATGCACAGACGGTTCAAAAACTCAAGAAATAGTAGGAGCTGCAAAAAATATCTATTTCAATGACGAAAAGGATTTCTAATAAATCTAATCTAAATCTAACTTATAAAGCTATCCAATCCAAATTAGTTTTGATTGGGTGGTAAGGTATAAAACCAGCCATCAAAAAATAGACGAAAAAAGAAGGGAGACACTCCAAAACGAAGACAAACCAAGGGATTGCCCATTTGCCATATTTACATCAGACCTTAGTTAGATCCTTTGACTCGTAATGTTTCTTTTTTCTTATGGCAGAGTCGGCAAATTTAATTCAATTTGCTCTACTCTGCGTGCAAGGATAATGGAGTTTCTTGACTTGCCGCTTCATTATTTGGTGATAAAGTTACGATTTCTGGCTTAAGCGATTTCTATCTATCTATTTCCATGAAAATCCCGGGAACTTGACTCAAAAACGGAGAACATTGAACGTTGAACCACCGCAACGAGTCTGGACTTGTCAGTTTATGTTTGTATGTATAATGCTACCAATGAGGAAGAGCCGTAGACTAGAGCGAGTTATATGTTGGGAACACTAGAGGAATAAACGAGTGCTGTTAGTAATACAAAATTGTTTGCTGGCTATATGGATTTTATTCCACGTGTTCTTTTTTATGTAAGACAATGAAACCTGTTGGACCAAAAGTTGAGTAGTACTTGTAATACCTGAAGTCAATAGCAAACTGCACGGAGCAGTATATAAAACTTACGTAGACAAAACTACAACTATGTCTGATTTAAAGAGGATATGAAGAACAAATATACTTTGATGAACATTCATCATGGCGTATACCAAAACGAAAAATGGCATACATTCAACTAGATATAAACACAATAAATAATGCATTAATTTTGCTTAAAAAGAAGTAATTCTAATTCTAAAGGGCATTTTTGCGGCACGAAAGCTGTTCAATTTTTTGATAGCCAATTATTAAAATCGTTTGTCTTTCAGATCATTTGAAAACAAGAAAGTCCAGAATAAAAGCAGCAGAAGTACTAGAAAGGACTTTCGACTATATAAATAATATAAAATCAACAATAAATGCTCCCATTGGTTTTGATTTGATTGTTGGACACATCGGTGACAAAATAAGAATCGAAAGACTTTTGCAGTGTTATTTTTATTGTCTATTAACCTATGTTAACAAAAAAAAATGGTTTGTAGACTTTTCTGTGTTTGAATTGAAGTAATGAATAAAACATGGTAGAATATAAAATTGTAACAATTTATACCAATAAATTGGTGTACTGATTTACTTTTATAGTTATAGTGAGTAATGGAATAACTAAGGAATGACGCAAGTTCAAGAAAAACTGTCCTAACAATATTTTCAAAAATACATTAATTTAGAAGTATCAATTTCTTGAATCAAAGAACTAAAACATCAAGAGGACGATTCTGCTCGGTCACAATCACGCGGAATCACAAATAATGTAGAGAGTGCTAACAGTGTTCCTGCAAACGGCACTCGTACGCATTTGCGGCAAAATATCTCTTTTATCGGTATTGCAAAAATGAAGTGAAATAAACCCCAGACAATGTCCCGAACCCTCGCTGCATATCTACTACTGGAAAAACAAAAATTGTTCATAGTTTCCATTTACGATCTGACAACGTCGCGGACTTACTATGACAACCATTTCCGACAGGACCGGCCCTTTGGCCCAGATCTCGTGGACAGTGTCGGAGGACTTCTTGTAAAAGAAGTTGGTCCCTTCCACGATCTTGCTGCGGACGACGGCGTTTGGGATGGTTACGGCGTAAGCTTTCTTCTTGCGCCGTTTCAATATGAAAGCGGCGCTCGAGTTTTTAAAATGGCCGACGGTGACGTTGGCCTCGACGCGTATTTGGCGCGCCATCTTCGGTATCACGCCGATCCTGCTCAGGCCTGAAAATTCAGCGGCGTGGCAACGTCGCGTTATTCGTAAATTTATAGTGATATAATATTAATTTATATTTTATTATTAGTTGGGAAATAATGTGAACAGACTTATCCGTCTTAATGCGGCGAGTGAAAATATTTGTTCAAAAAAACTAATAAGATGCGAGGGTTAGAAAAAGAAAATTCATATTTGAAAATATTTTGAAACTGCGAAACATTTCAGCTTCGAATTTAAATCTTAGGTTATTTCTTTGCACTTAATTCCGCTAAAGGCGCGTTCACACTTAATGATTTTTTTTTGTAATACATTTTTTTTATTTTTACAAAGCTGAAGTTGCTTTTACTTTGCACCAGGAATGAGTTATGCCATAAATGTTTGCAGGGTAATCGTTTTTTATTAACATTTGGAAGCACATTTGACTAAACACATGTTTGATGTATAGTTCTGTTTTAATAACTTCCTCTGTCCTTTACGTTGTTAGTAATTTCCTCTGTTCTTTGGGTTTTTAATAATTTCCTCTTTCTTTTGCGTTTTTAATAACTTTTTCTGTCTTTTGCGTTTTCAATAACTTCCTCTGTCTTTTGTGTTGTTAATAATTTCATCTGCCTTTAACGTTTTTAATAATTTTTTCTGTCTTTGGCGTTGTTAATAATTTCCTCTGCTTATAACGTTTTTAATAATTTCCTCGTCTTTTGCGTTTTTAATAATTTGCTCCTTATTTTGCGTTTTTTATAATTTCCTCTGTCTCTTGCGTTATTAATAATTTCCTCTGCGTTTTTAATAATTTCCTCTGTCTTTTGCGTTTTTAATAATTTGCTCATTATTTTGCGTTTTTAATAATTTCCTCTGTCTTTTGTGTTTTTAATAACTTCCTCTGTCTTTTGCGTTGTTAATAATTTCCTCTGTCTTTAACCTTTTTAATAATATCCTCTGTCTTTTGCGTTTTTAGTAATTTGCTCCTTACTTTGGGTTTTTAATAATTTTCTCTGTTTTTGCGTTTTTAATAATTTCCTCTGCCTTTTGCGTTTTTAATAACGTCCTCTGTACTTTGCGTTGTTAATAATTTCCTCTGTCCTTTGCATTTTTAATATTTTCTGAAACTAAACTGGTATTACAAAATGTCTACCATGGTTCTCAACGTTATGAAATGGCAAGGTAGAAACTTGAGAAAATTATCTACTACCAATAAATTCTTATCCAGCTCTTTCAAATTTATATTTATTTTTATGTTTGATTCAATACTGAATTTAAACTGATGTTATGTGGTTATCCACATATTATAATGACAACGTAAAATCTTAAGAAACTTATAACCCATATGTTATAAATTTTTACCCAAGTTTTTTTAATTTTTTTTTCGTATGTTTATTTATTATTTTGAATTTCAAAAAATGCTGTTTATTCTAAGCGGTGTTAAAAAAATTACGTATACATGAGGTTAGGTCTAACTTTTATTCGATTGTTTTTTGACACAGGGACGTACTTCGCTTAAGTCTCCGCCTCGAAACGGTATCAGCTGCGACGCACTGCGAGTCGTCGCCCCCGCACACCCCGCAACTATCCCTCGTAACGGTCGAGTTCAGTTTACCGTCACACCCGACTGTCTGGCACCATCCCTAAAACTCAACCCACAATTAAAAAAAAAAGAGCAGACTATGGCCAGAAGGAGTTGCGTGACGTACTACGACACACTGTAACGGAAGTTGATCTTTCAAGCACTGACTAGTTTCGAGTGGGACGGATGACGTCACGGGAGCGTGGTGCTTTGCGAACCTGCACACAGATGTCGTCCTGGTTCTCGTACGAACATGGCGTTCCGTCGGCGAAGTTCTCGTCGGTCGCGAACACTTCTTTCCGTTCTTCGCTGACGCAGGCGAACTTGCAGGCCCGGCGGACGGCGTCGTCGGCGTCGTCGACGTCGTCTCTCTCGTAAGGTAACCAGGTGTCGCTCGATGACGCGTTAAAAATTCGCGGCAGCATCTTGCATTGTCGGGCGCGCAAATCGACGTACGGCCCGGGACAATCAGCAACGTTGCATATTTCCCAAGTTTCGGCGTCACCGTCGCACCCCCTGCCACCGTACGACGGCCTATAACGATATCCACAATTGGTAGATAACTAAGTGACGTGAATTTTCTTTGATCCCTCTATTTTGGCATTAGATTAAAAATTCCCCGAATCAGGGAAACGTTATTATTATTGGCAACACCGTGCGTTTCAGTTAATCACCCGGAAATATGCCGGAACTGGCGCGATCACCTGGGATTATCGCATTCCCGAGTCCTGAATCGAACGCCGGCACCGCAGGTCCTTGAGCAGCCGCCCCAAGGTCCCCAGTCTCCCCAGCCGCCATGTTGGGGGTTGAGCACCACCGGCACCCGTCCACCTTGAGCTTGCAGGATATCCGAGCAATACCCGTTTGCGCACCACTGCGCAACGAAAGTTAAAAAAAATCATTCTCCGGGATAAATAACAAATAAATAAATACAGTCAAAACTGTGTATGACGCAAAGAACTATGTAAAAAATGTATTATGTTGTTAGGTTTTCATACAATGCGTCACGCGTTCTAGTGGAAAAATTAAAGCAACAAAATAAATAAAATAAAGATTTGTAATGAAAAAAAAAAAAAAGAAAATTGTTTCTTCAATTTCGCTATAAAGAAATTCATTTAAAAAAATAGCATAATATAACAACTATATCAATATGCAAACGGAAAAAAAATTAACGGTTCAACTTTTCTATAACAGAAAAATAATGTCTTCGTTGTAGAAGATTTTCATTTCAAAAAAATTAAATCAATATAGTAATTCAAATAAATAAAATAATTACAATTAAAGAATGTTTGTAACGATTTTTAACGAACATTTTAGGAATAAAGAGTCTTTTGAACTTCGTTATGATTGAAATATCAATAACTGAATTAAATAAAATAACTACAATTATATGTTCGCTATAGAATGAAGTAATATCTTAAAATTCACTTTAGGAATAAATTTCTTCAACTACGCAATAAAAATATAGTCTTTCCAATTTTATATTAGAGGCTTTTCATTGAATTATCAACAAGATAATTGAAATAAATAAAATAATTACAATTACATCTTTATAACGAAAATATTTTAACCATTTTAACGAAAATTCTTTGAAAATGAAATAAATCATATTTTTAGTCTCCTCAAGTTCGCTGAGGCTTTTCAATTCAAATGAATTAAGCCGACGAAAATTAAAATAAATAAAATAATCGCAATTAAAGAATTATTGTAAGAAAAATACCCAATAAATAAAAAAATGCCCCCACAACTTCGCTATAGAAAAAAATAGGCTGTTCAACTTTACTTTTAAAAAATTAATAGAATCTTCTGAATGAAAACGCAATATAAGAAAAAAAATAACCCCTTCAACTTCGCTATAAAAAAGTCTCTTTAATTTCTACTAGAAATTGAATAGTGGAAATAAACTAATTAATTATAATTAAGGAATCTTTAAAAGAATAATACGGTCGACTGAGCTGAGAGGGTTTTTGATGGTAACAAACAAAAATCAATAAATTAAACAAAATAAATAATTCAAAATTTTCAACGCAAGTCGATGAAAACAAAATTCTACCCCCCACCTTCCCAAAACCGCACTCGGTTCCCTCGAGAGGGGGGCCCTTTTTAGTCTTGCACACCAGTGGTGAAGAGGCGTGACCGCACCACAGATGAGAACATGGTTCGATTATATCGAACGCTCTGCACATTGAGTACCCGTTACCGAATTCCATTCGACACTGCTCGTCCATCGTGAACATCGACTGGAGGGTCTCATTCAACACGATCTCCCTCTCATCTCCCGGTGGATTCAGCAGGCAGGTCCAGTTGCTAAAATAAAAGAGGGGGGCGGGTGCTTTTAACAAAGCGCTATAGTCAATAAATCAATCAAATCAATTAATCAAAAATTATAATTAAGTTTACTGAAAATGGATACTGGCCTTAATAGAATCTACATATATTTTGTAACAGTATACTTTGAACCAAACTATACCTGAACATTTTGGAATTGGAACAAAAAGTTTCGAAATCGATTTGACTTTCACTGACTCTGAATAATTTGCAATGGTATTCAAAGTTATTAAAGAAAAATAATAAAGAATTTTTTAATATTTTTCGATTTTTTTTTAATATATCCTGTTTGGCATAACTTTTAATTCTAAATAACTTTGCTTAATAACATTTAACTCAATTCTTTGAAATTAGGGTACTTTACAATTAAAATGTTTGTACTTTTTGTCATACCCTGTATGTTGTGTCTTGCGCATCTTTCAAGTGCAACCAATAAAATTATGGAACGTACCCCAATTTTAGTTGTGCGGTTAGTAAAAAAAGTGCAATATGCTACACAATAAAATGACCAAACTGTAGTGGATGAATTTTCAGGTATAGTTTGGTCCAAAGTATACCGCTACAAAATATATGTCGACCGAACACTAAGGTGGCTAAAATGATCATTTATCTTACCGAGATCTCGTCCTGAACTCTCTCCTCGAACACTCTGACCAAGCGAACTTATTAAACGTGGCCGACACCATCGGCGCCATGACACTTCCCTCCATCGTGTCGTCGTCGCAGTCGTTGTTCGCTTTCGCGTCGCCGTCGTGGCTCAATCCCAGACTTCAAACAGTAGCCAACAATCACAGTGCGGGCTTCTCCCACCCCCCTATGATACTCACACGTGCGCCATCTCGTGGGCAATGATGAATGCGCTGCTCAGCCCTTCGTCCTTGTTCAGCGCGCAGCTTCGCTCCGGATCGCAAGCGCCCCCTACTGGCGCGTAGCCCGAAGGACCGCCAATGTCCAACCTATGATACAGTTGTCACTGTTTTTTCACATTTCCATGATTTCTTTTGGGTAGAATTAATTTTCATGAGTTGAAGTGGACAATCTGAAGTTTTTATGAGAAAAAAATGGTGGAGAAAAATTAAGGATATTTCATCATTCAAGTTTTGGTAGCGTCGGCAGATGTATCCTCCTTTTGTTTTTCGTTAAACTCACATTAAGTTTAGACGCTTTTTGAGACATACTTAGACCTAAGACATTATTCTTACTTCTTCTTCAAGTACTCTGCGTACCTTTTTCAGCAACAATGTTCTGCGACATCCTGGTATACAATTACCCTCTATCTTTCCCTGGATAATGCAGTCTAATAGTTTGTACTTTCCATTACTCGTAAAGTGACCAAAGTTCTGCAACTTTCAACGTTTAATGAGGTTTGAAACTTCTTTGAAGCTGTTTATTCGATGAAGTAATATGTTTACAATTCTATCCGTCCAAGCAATCTTAAGTATTCACAAGAATCCACAACCTAGAATAGGTTACTAAATACATAGTAATGTAAAAGTTGGATTCTAGCCTCTACTTCATCATAATAGTTTGTCTGGTTTGCTTTATTCTACTTCTACTAACTTGGGAGGTTAGATGGCATTTGTTATTCAAGTGGCAGCCTAGGTACCGGAATGGAGTTCTTATAAATCTGATAGGGTAGTGATTTTCAACCGGCTGATTACTCTAAAACTTATACCACTCCCATCTAGTCCCATTTCTTTGGGGATGTCAATTCATTTATCGTGCCTTACGGTATCGAAGGATTTTTCGTAATCCGCAAAACACGCATCTACAGTAACATTCCAAGAACCTGTATACTGAATACTGCCTCTCGTTACAAATCCATTTTGCCTACTACCACCTCACATTTTCAGTATATACGGTTGTAAATGATTTTCAAGATTTAAGTTTCAAGACATGCCTCATTGGGCTGACAGTTCTGTAGTCTTTAACGCGTTTCGTCTTACGGGTCTTGGGTATTGACATAAAGTTTTGTGCTTGTTATTAAATAATACTATGTTTAGTGACGTATCTTTGTTAGGAACTTATAAAAAATCGAGCTCACCTGGTCAGCCATATGGCGACGTCATGGGGTGTTTCTCCAGGCTTCAACGAGGCTTGCAGCTTTTTGTTCCAACTGTTGACGTTTTCTAGGGATTTTTTCGCATTTCCCGGCCTGACCACGCCAAGCTTCTTGTTGTCGTACAGCAACAAACGCGATATTACCAGCTGCATGTTAGCTTCGAGTGAAGTATCCTGGTATATGGCGTTCACCTGAAATTATAAAAATAAAATTAATAATAAAAAAGATTATTATTCAATACTAAAAATCAGACATTACCTCGGCAAATAGAATAATATGAGGAAAGAATAATGAGCCCTTACGAAATCTAAGTATAAAATATTAACATTTATCAACAGATGAGACGAATTACAGCATTTCTGACAAACTAAATAGAATTGCTGACAAACAATTTAGAATTTCTTAGAAATGGGTCGGGATTTACAATTTTTATTATTACACTATAAAAAATGAAAACATGCAAAATAAAATTAAAACATTAAACGCACTGTATTTCCGAAAGCATCTACGATCATAGTATTTTGGTGTTCAATATATCCAGCTTAGGGATTGCCGTGCTTTATGAATTACTCTGTATATCTGAAATTCTATTTGCAAGGTCCCATACAATAGACTTGTTTTTCAAAAACTCTGACTTGTAACTCAGAAATTCTAACTTATGTTAAGAACTCTGACTTGTTTCTCAGAACTTTTCACATATTTCACAAAAATATTTCTTCTTTTTCAGAAATTCGGACTTGCTTCTCAGAAATTAATATTTAAGTCCAAAGTTGTGACATGTTTCTCAGAAACTTTGATTTACGCTAGAAATTATGACTTGTTTCTCAGATATTAAGACTGATTTCTCAGAAATTCTGAATTTTTTCTCAGAAATTCGGACTTATGTCAGAAATTCTGAATTGTTTCTCAGAAATTCTAACTTATATTAAGAATTCTGACTTGTTAATAAAAACTTTTGAAACATGTTTATTCTTTTTCAGAAATTCGGACTTGCTTCTCAGAAATTAAGATTTAAATCCAAAGTTGTGACATGTTTCTCAGAAATTTTGATTTACGTTAGAAATTATGACTTGTTTCTCAGACATTAAGACTGATTTCTCAGAAATTCTGAATTGTTTCTGAAAAATTATTACTTATGTCAGAAATGCTGATTTGTTTCTCACAAACTCTGACTTTAGTCAGGACTTGTTCCTCAGGCGTAAGCCATTGTTCTTCAAAAATTTTCCTAAGTTAACTAAAACCTCTATTTTATTTTTCGTGTCTTTCTAAACCCTCGTATGAGTAAGGAATGCTAAGAAAAGGAAGGGAAGGACTTCAGTAAACGGCCACCCAAATTAATACTGTCACAACAATGTTGTGTCAGGTAGAAAAAAACCTTTTCTTGCTTAGATACGCAAATGTCGTCGACTGATAATTATGTTACGATAATTCGTACGGTACATAAGTTCTTCATGAAAACAGGGTGGATATTGTGATTTAATTATCTTGTAAGAGCCCTACTGAATACAGAATCTAAAGTCATCCCAATCTCCCAAGATCATGTGAAAATCTTTGCCATTAGACAAAAGCTCTAAAATGTCTGCATCCTGTTAATAGCAATGTAAAGTTTGGTACAGAACAGTTATTTTGCGTCGATGAATAATCAATAGTAAAGTCTTTTAAATTTTAAATTGTCATCAATGGTGATGCTTTAACGATTTTAAATGGTATCCTATGAATAATATTAATTATGATAAAACGTTTAATTCAATCCATTGCAACAACCAACACCAGCGTGCAGAGAAACCCTAAGGAACACCCACTTTAAGTCGACGCTGATACCTGTAGATTAAAAATGGGGATACTAGCTAGAGGGCGGCTTTTCCAAAGCCCATATATTTTAGGATTTACGATTATAGGTTATGTTCGCGCAGTATCCCATAAAATCCGGATTAACCGCGAAACGAACGATATCCTTTCGATGCTGGAAGATTACAGAAAGCACACGTATTTTTACAAACTTACGATGTTCATGAGGGCCAAGACGTATTGTTCGACCTTCTTTTTGCCGTGAAACGCGACGACGCTGTGGTCGACGCAGATCGCGATCTCCAGCCATTTTTGAGGAGATCCGCTGGCACCCCACCTGTGCCCTAACAGACGCATTAAAAGAAAAAGGAACCATAATCAAAACAACAACTGTTTCCTAAATTCATGACCACTTCACCAACTTAAACTGGTTGGTTTTTATTATATTGCTTTCTTACTCTCAGAGTGTGATGTTACTTTAATGCAAATATAAAATATACAAATTTTTAATTAAATTTATCATACTTGGAACTTGAAGTCTTCACGTTTGATTTTACTTGGTGCTACAAATGTTCTATGTAAATACACAATGATATGAAAGTCAGATAAAATGACAAAAATTGATGCCCACAATGAGCTTCAGGTTCAAAGATCCCAAAAAAATAAACAAAAGAGACTTCTTAATTGTACATGAAGTTACAAAGGTAGAACTCTTGGATCAATGGCTCGAACAATGTCGTCTAAGATTCGTCAAAATACCATTAAAGTAATATTTTTAATTCTTCTCCCATGCGTTAATGGTATTGTTAATATAATTTTTCTTCACCATGTGCCTCGTTCCCTACAAACTTTAGCTTTCAATTTTATTTGCCACACTTCTGGCATAAGGTGTGAAGTCACTAATATCTGTATCTACCTGGTCGTCATCTGCTGTCTACACTACTGCTGCTCCTTTTCTCCAGCTTTTTCATCAATGTTTCTTTCACTCTCCATGTTTACATTTCATATGCCAAACAAACATATCGCAATTGCTTCATCTTGTTTTTAGTGGAATAGTCTTTGCCTGTGTCTTTGTGTGCGAATAGATTTTTCATGTTGTTGGATGTTGCTCCGATATTTACAGTTTAGTAAATATTTCGATTATTTGATTCCATTTCTAGTTTTGACCACCAGCGTCCACTTGACCTTGTTCCAGAAGATATTGTGATTCATCCATACGGCGCATCTAATATTGTTTATTGCTTCTCTATTCAGTAGTGTAGGCACTCGCGCTTAATAGATTAGTAGAGAAAATTGATTAACATCATATTGTCATACCAGTTATAATTAGTTTAACTAAAGATAGCGACATCGCCGCCAGAACTGCATATAGAACAATATAAACCTAAATATTACAATACGTAGTGTAGATAGTGTTGAAAGTTTTAAATTGTTGAATATTTTAAAACTTGTACAACCACTTGCAGGAAGCCATACCTGAGGTCCCTCATTGGATGTTCAACAGAATAACCACTCCAGTCACGAAGATTTTAAATTGAATGTTGGTTAGTCTTGTTATATGTCGGATCTTCTATAAGTGTTATAGGGTATATATCTTGTTTAGTTGGTTTTCTTTTGATTACTTCGAATTTGATGTTTATGGACGAACTCACAGGGTCATCGTCTGATGATATATCAGACCCTGGATGTACCTTGGTTGATTCAAGACTTTTCCTAAACCTTTTATTCATGATTATGACTATACTGACTATCACTATGCAATCCCCATGATTTTGACTTGAATGTTGGATAGTTTAGTTATATGTCGAATCTTCTTTAAGTGTTCTAGCATCTATATATCATATGGATTTAGCTTAGTTGATTTAAAATTGGTTCTAAATTTTTTATTCGTGATGATGTAATCTATCTGCTGAATCTTGGTTTTGAAAAGCCAGGTGCTTCTCTTCAGGTGCTTGTTGGAGCAGTTCAATCTGAGACAGACGCTGCTGTCGAGGACCTTCTTAACCTTCATCGCTCTACATCTGTCGCGTGATGCCACTGACTCGTCATTGCAAATTAGAATTTATTGGTTTATCATTTTCCCCGAGCTTTAAAACAGTTGACGTAATGATCTTTATAGGATTATAGGTCGCCCGTCAAAAAAGAATCAAAAAACGTAAAAATCGATCCCCGAAGCTTAACGCTGTTTCTGGCCGGACTTACTTTGAACCCCTAACGCTGACCAAGCGCTGTCGTAAAAATAGCCGTTGTCCTCGTCCGTCCAGCTTCCGCGCGGTAAATCCAGTGGCGGAGGCGGCGGCGATGCCGAATCGCGCGATCCGTGGTTTCGATTTTCGTCGCCAAAATCGAGACCGTCAAAGGTGTCGCCAGTCAAATTGTAAAGCCAGTCGGCGTTGTGTAATTTGGCGACCCTCCGCCTGCGCCTCTGGCCGGGACGTCCGGGGACGCCACTGCAAACGTTCGCGCTCAAAGTATAATCAAATCTCGTTCGGCCGGTTAATGAAAAAGGTAAAAATATTTTTTTAATGAAGGACTGGTATATACAGGGTGGTCAGCAATGAATAGAATAGAAAGCTAAAGTTTCCCCAAGCATCGCATTACACTCTATATCTACTTATACAGGATGTCCAAACAATATGTCGAAGTTATGTAAATCATTTATTATTGATTTTAGAGGGAAACGTTAAATACGAAAGTCATAGATGAGACTAAAAGAAGCAATTTTAAAATATTATTATCAAATATACAGGGTGATTCATAAATATGACTTAAATTGATTCAAAACATATGGAAATATGTCGGAAAAACTGCCAATTATTAAAAAAAAAAAAATTATGGTCGCCATATTGGACGTTTGCAGATATGGTCTGTTCATAGATATAAGAAAGTGACCAATTGCTTTTGAATGGGATTATATAAGGGTGGTCATACAATGCAACAAGATTATTACCTAAAGTTTCGGAATTTAAATTCAGGTAAAATTGTGGTCCGTAATAGAAAATAATTTTATACCTACTTGTGTTTAATATTCTTTGGTTTGGTATACTACTTAGCTTAAGTTTATTAGTAATCACTCTTATTTCGTGTGTAATACAGCGTGGGTTGAATCGTGTGCGAATTATGCAAAATATGTGAGACTAAGGAAATTATAAACAATGTTTATTTGACTCTCATTGAACGTGGTGCCAGCGAGCAAGCATCTTTAGAAGAATCGGCCACATTGGCGAAAATTGCAACATCAACTGTATGGAAAATTGTGAATAATTCCATGTCAGGGAGGAAAAAAAAAGCGATACTGACATTTTCTCGAGTGTAGATGAAAGTGATCAGATACCCCGGAAAAGGGTTGGGTTAACTCAACTGATAAGTGTAAAACAAACGCGCCATCAAAAAAAGGTAAAAGAATAACTATTTTGCATGCTGGCTCTAAAGATGGTTGGATTCCGAATGGACTTTCTCTGTCTGCGAAAAATATTAAAGATTCTCCTCTGGATTACAATGAAGACACCACCGCTGATTTATTTGAAAGTTGGTTTAAAAACAAACTAGTTCCAAACATTCGTTCTAATAGCGTAATTGTAATGGGCAATGCAAGTTATCACAGTAGACAGTTGACTAAAACCCCTTCCTCAGATGACACAAAAGCAACGATCCAAAACTACATGTATAATAACGACATTTATTTTCACGAAGATTATACCAAAAAGCAATTAATTGAGGTTCTACAAAGCTTGAACCTACAAAAGAAATACGTCTATGATAATTATGCAAAAAATGTAGGGCATACAGTTTTAAGACTTCCACCTTAGCGCCGTATATTTAATCCCATTGAACATGTTTGGCACCAACTGAAATCTGCCATTCGTCCTAACAATGTTTTTCCCCGTGTTAACTCGAATGTCCTCAAACTTATAGAAACCGAAGTTTTTAACATCCCTCCACAACGTGGGGCAAATTCTGTTAAACATATAGAAAAAGCAGAACAATCGTATATCCATATTGCAAATAATGTAGAACAAATAATAATTAGAACAGACGATGATAGCCATAGTGATACTGATATATTATGTGAATAATTTTAAGTAATTTAAGTAGGTAATAAAAATAATTTGTAATTTTATTTTAGATTTAAACATAAATAAATAAATAAATATTGTTGTGTCTTTCCTAACAAAACCACAAATAATTAAATTCTACCATATTTCATTCTTACAGCTTGCCCGAGTCTTTCCTTAATTCGTATGAGTTAGTCACTTTCTTATATCTATGAACAGACTTTACCCTCAAATTCGAAGTATTGCATAAAAACTCTTATTTTATATTATATTTACTATAAAATATTTATTATAAAATGGACTTTACCAAAGAAAAAAATCGGAATATGGTAAAACTTTATTATAAGAATGATAGAAACGGTGTGCAGACATCGGAAACGTATTCGAACGTGTATCACGAAAGACGACAGCCTTATCGAACTTTGCTTAAATTATTTGTGGGTGAATTATTGGCGACACATGAAAAACTTTTAAAGATGTGATGATTTGATATGAGCGGTACTGTGTTGAGGGAGAGTTTGAGGTTTCGTCTATAATACAAGGGACGCAAGTACGCCAGTACAAATTTTGATATTTACCGAAGTATGTCGTAAATTTGAAGTTCACTTTATGCGAGGTGTTTTCACAATCAAATTACATCGATTTTACGAAGGTTCCATAGTGGTCCGCAGGAGCACTATTTGCGACGAACTTTCGCCGCTCACCGACGATTTTTCGAAAGCAACCTTGTTTTTTATCCTTTGGATTTATTAATAAATAAATATTTCAAACTAATTTTAAATAGTTTCCCTTCGTCTCATCTATGACTTTTGTATTTATTTAAGTGTTCGCACATCCTGTATACCAGTTGCGTCTCAAAAGGGTATGCCGTCGTATGAAGCATGTTTCCGAAAATCGATGCAAAAATCATCAATTTTAATTAGTGTCTAACTCCGATTTTTTTTTTTAGTACGAACCTTTTGAACAGGACGTGATCCCCGCCGCTGGCAGCGCCGCCGCGTAGCGGACGGAAAAAGTAGAAAGCGTCTCGCAACCGGAAGTACCCGATCAGGGACGTACGGGGGCAAATAGACACGGCAGCTCGACTCTCAGACTCCAAACCGGATACCGACCCGATCAGATGGTCGCATTTCGCTGGATTTGGACCTCGCGGCGCGCCACTGGACCGGATCCATACCGCCGCGAAGCCCGGAGCGAAGCGCAGGTTTCCTTCGGCAACGGAAATGTGTTTTTATTTTCAATTTGGCGATTTTAATGCCCGACCAACGAATGATGGTAGCCAAAAATAGAAAGAAACGTTTCTTTTTATTATTGAAAAATATAAAATTAGTCCAGTGGCGTCGCCTTTAAAAAAATTCACAAAAATTTAGAGACAAAAGTTATTTGAATTCAATTATATTTATATATAATCAGAATGTTTGTATTTCTTATCGAGTATTTTCAATCGATCACTACAGAGAGATCACTAATCTGGGTTCATGTGAGATGGGATATCAATGTTTGAAAGTTTAATGAGGCCCAACTTAAACTTAACTACTTTTTATTATTATTGTTATATTAATAGTGAATAACAATGATAATCACAATAATAATGCCTTTGTTTTTCTTATTTCAGCCAATACATAAAAAAAGTGTAATTGGACTGGCGAGGTCTAGCTTACCGTTAACCAAAACTAACAATAGAGCATCTAATTTAACGTCAGTACATAGTGGGGTGATTTTTTGTGCAATTTTAAAAAGAAAAATTCGCATTAACATATATAGCAAACGTCTTAACATTGGAAATACAGAGATTATTTGTAAGCCGCTGTAGATATTTTAACGAAATTTGGCACACATGGACATATACACCAGTGGCGGGTGTATGGAATTTCACCTGTCTATTTTGACAGACATTAAAGGTACGCCACTGATATCGCCTAAAATAAAATATATATCTCCAATCATTCCTAAAGAAATTTAATTTCTCAATTTTTTTCAGTCGAATGCACGGTTTTAGCTTAAAAAAATAAAAACCTCTTCGCGGCAAATCAGTGGCGCGACATGGAAACAGCTGGAGCATGTATCCTTCAACAACTTATCTAGTTTTAGGTTCTATTTTTAATAAAATTTATTAACAGACAATTTTGTTAAAAATTATTTATATATTATTTATATATTATATATTATTATTATTTTTCACAAGACAGCACAGGACTGATGTTCTATAAAAATCTCGGCTAACAAAGGACTAAGTGGGTTTCCCATAATCAAATCTTCCTTAGAAATGTAAATCTGTCCATTAAATTCAAAATAACTTTGGTTATATATAGCAATCTAATAAATCTTGTTTCAACACCACCATTTCTAGTAGATTTCACCCTCACTCGGAAACATGTTAACCCATTTGTTATTTGTTATTAGATTGCTTAATAGTATCTTTAGACCATAATTATTTTGAATTTAATTAACGGATTTACATCTCTAAGGAAGGTTTGATTATGAAAAACCCACTCAGTCCTTTGTTAGTGGAGATTTTTGTGGATAATTTGGAAAATGTCATACTAGAACATCCTTATGGTGGTATAGATATGTTTATGATGTCTTTGCTTGCTTTGTTGGAACAGACAGACAATTGAATTCTTTTTTAAATTACATTAGCTCATTACATAATCATATAAAATTCACCATCGAGATTGAACATTTAATTTTTTAGACCCAACTATTATGAAAACGCAAATCAAATTAGATTTTTCCATTTACCATAAACCTTCACACACGAACACAGTGGTACATAACAGCTCAAATCACTCTTATACACACAAAATGGCTGCATTTCACTTTTTTATACACAGACCGCTTAATACGCCACTCTGAACAGAAAATTACAGCAAAGAACTTAATGTCATTAAACCAATTATTTATTAAATTATAAACAAAAATAAATCCAGATAACAGTAAACTCTATTTAGTAGTTTGCAAATATTACAACATTACAATATTACAATTGTCATGTGAATATATATAATTTCGTGAAAATCTGAACTTTTAGTTCTTATTTATTTTGTTAAATGGATTTTCATCAAGTAAAAGCCACCTCAGGTCTATTTTTTCCGGGTTGCGCGAAAACTTTGATTTAAAAATGCACACTATGTGACACCAACTCACCAGATTGTCCGAGAACTAACACCCAACCTCCCAATTCGACGTAGATCGGACCGCTCGCACTGGAGGAGTTGTACAGTCTGGGTACCACCACGAGTGCTTCCTCGCGAGCCGCCACTGCTTTCGCACGCACACACGTCAGTCCGTATACGGGCCAACCAAGGAAAACTTACCCGAATAATAATGCAGCCAGAGGATGCACAAAATATCCGACAAGCGACTCATAGTCAATTAACAATGAACGGAAAAGCCTGAATGCGATGAGGTCGATAATTAAAACAAATGAAAAGCAATTAAAGTCAGTCTTGGTGGCGGAATACAACGCGCCGTTCTTAATGATGTTCGTCACGATGTTCGCTCGGAAATAGAGACTCTTTTAGGAACACAATGCACGAAAGCTGGGAAGTGGTCACTGTCAAAGTACTGTTTTTGTACTCACATTATCACGAAATAATCGAAAATAGTTTTCACAAAAAAAAAGCAAACATATGTACTTATTGCTTAGTTATTGGCATAAATTCGCTAAACGCGCTTTCATTGGTCGTGACGTCAGCGCTTGTATCGCCTTCCAGCGCCCAATAAGAAGTCATACTGGGTATTATTATTTATTATGTCTTAAAGTTTCATTATGTTTTAATAAGCAAATCTTTACTGACATTTTCTTTCTGTACAATTAAGTAACTGCGGAGTAAATTCTGTTAACTACTTTGCTTTACTTTAGGTTGTAAAACAGCAAGAGCCTTTGAAAACTTCCAAAAAATGACAAGTTGGTGGCACGACAAATAATTCAGTAATCTTTGCGAAAGGCATCGATTTAAATTGTATTAAAATTGAAATGAATGTTTTAAACAGGCTGAATTATAAAAGGACTTCACTTTCAAAGTTGGTAGGCATTATTATATAACTAACCAATAGCGATCGTGAGACCGTTTTAATTAAATTCAATTAAAAAATAGTTGCCATGGCTTAAAACGCGTAATTTTTGGGGTACTGGATTTCCCATTTTTTTAATTTTAATTTTGTTTTTCTGTGATCAAAAAGGTTCGTATAACAGTGAAATTAACAAAGCGGAAAAAAAAGAAATATAAAACATTATGAAAAACATAACTAAAAAAAAGTCAATTCGTTTCATTTTATTATGATTGCTTTCTGTTGCTTTATCATTTATTGTAATTTGTGCTATCTGTTGGATATTTTTTTTAAACTAAGTATAAAAAAACAAGTATTTATCCTAACACGCGTCAGCTACCCGAATTTCCCCACGTTTAGGGAAAATTTCGATTCGGCAACGTCGCATTTGCGACAAAACTTATCTTCCGCCCATCTCCCGCAGCCACGCACTGTCGGATCGTTTTCTGAGTCACTAAAAGTTATCAACTCGATGCGGCGACGCACCAAACAACAAAAAGTAATAACGATGTTTCGACGCGTCCGCGCAAGTTAAGTGCCCCGTTGCCCGCGTTACAGAAATTGTGCTCGTCGCAACACGTGATGCACGAGTGCAGTTTGGTCCGTTCGCCGATAATTATGCAACCAGACTCGCATGTCTCCGAGCAGTTGCGCTGGAGCATCCACAGCATCGGCCTGCCAGTCACTTCTTCAGTACTGGTCGACATCGATATCCTCCTCACCTAAAAAAAGGACGGAGGCGTAATAAGAAGATGAAGGAGGAGTTTTGTATTTTAATAAAAATACCAACAATAAAGAAAATAAAAACAATAATAAATAAAACAAATTAATGTAAATTGCGGAAGAGGTCGAGAAGTTATTAAACCTTGACAAAAATAACCGGAACGACTTGAACTGAGCAGGTCTTTTTATTCAAAATGACCAAAGCAGTTTAGCAAAAGTTCAGTGTTGACACTTCCAAGTTATCTGTCAAAATTTTCTACTTGAGGTTACCCAATCTCTAAAACCTCTGTACCATTTGTAATTTACGATAGAGCCCTTAATTTTCAAATATACAAAATATTGAGAATGATAACGGTCTGATTAACTTTCGATTATCACATCAATATCTGCTTTTTTCTTCTTCTTCTTCTTCTTTCTGTGGTTAATATTTAGACATATGTGCTGTAACAATTTTTGTAAGCAACCTTACTTACTCGCAATGGCAGTTTCTGCTTTATGTAAATAAATGATATTATTTTATCATAACAGAGAATAATATCAAATATCAAACAATATCATGGTATATCGTCAACATATAAAAAAATACTACTTTCGATATTTATTCATGTAAAACAAAGAAATGACATTAGGAAAAAGGAAGTTGTGAAATCTAAAAAATAAGCAACCGAGGCGAATTGAAGAAAAATCGATAAATAATTATAATTTATTGATTTTTATTGTTGTTATTATATTTGTCGTCAATGTCCTCAAAAATCAGGACCTTCCATAATTTAATGCTGTTTGTCCCGACAACAGCCCAATGAAAGGCCGAAACGTAGATATTGCAACAATAAAGATTTCGGTGTTTGCACAAACCTACATCTTCCTAAAACAAATTTGGTTGCAAAAAATCAAGCAGAATTACGTTTAATTTTAAAAGTAAAAAAAAAGCCAGAAAAAAAGCAACTAAGGATACAAAATAAGGATAAGGAAGAAATAACATAGTTTCAATTACAAATAAGGACAAAACTAATTTTTAAATGTTGAAAAATCAAACAAATTAAGTGAAATACGTGAAGAGTACAAAAAAGTCTAAATACAAAAGAAAAATATTTAAAAAAAGACAGAACGGAAAAGAAAGATCCAAAAACTAAACCAAGGAACATTCAAATGGGGAAGAGAAAACTTGTAGACATTTAATTGGAGCAATTAAATAAAACACAATAATAGGAAGCTTATTATGACAAAAAAACATATGTGAAAAACACTGGTCACTTGTAATTTCGCACTTGTGGGACGATAAATTTTTTCGATGAATTGTTTTGGTAAGTTTTTTGACGTTAGATATTTAGACGTTAACAAAGTTAACAAAGCACAAGTATATATATATATATATATATATATATATATATATATATATATATATATATATATATATATATATATATATATATATATATATATATATATATATATATATATATATATATATATATATATATATATATATATATATATATATATATATATATATATATATATATATATATATATATATATATATATATATATATATATATATATATATATATATATATATATATATATATATATATATATATATATATATATATATATATATATATATATAAATATAAAATATTATAAGAAAACATAATGACTAAGATAAAAACTAATATGTGAAAAAATATTGTTAAATGAACTATGTACTATGAGTTTTTTATCGGTTAATTCTGGTCAAAATTAACAAAGCAGCAGTAAAAAAAATAATAATCCTAGACAAAATCTAAAATAAATATATAAAATATGAAAATAACAACTAATATGTGAAAAATTATTTTCAAGTGCACTTTCGGATTTGTAGAGGAAATTAATTTTTGCTATGATTTTTTTGTTAGTTTTGATCAATATTATCAGACCAACAGTAAAAAAAAAACAAAAACAATTATGAGATAAGTATATAAACCACTATAAAAAATGCAATATGTGAAAAAATATTTTCAACTGAATTTTCACATTTGTGGCTGCAATAAGTTTGTCTATGATTTTTTTTTTTGTTAGTTTTGGTGAAAATTGAAAAAGCGGTAAAAATATTTATAAAATTTACAAGCTACACTTGCGATAAATATGAAAAATATTATGAAAAAAAAAGTTTGCATGATAAAAACTGATATGTACAAAAATTTTGGTAATTGAACTTTCACATTTGTGCAGGAAATAAATTGCAAAATTATATATAAAATATAAAATATTTTGAAAAGTGATAATGATAAAAACTGCATTTGAAACAATATGGTCGATATGGGCAATATGAATTGTAATATATATGTAATATGCATTGTTTTGCTATGTTCTCATTAGTTAAGAGTAAATAAACAACAAAATTAACAAAAAATATATATAATGAAAAAATAACTAGTAAAAAAAATAAACTGGAGTTTAAGTGCATGATAATAAAAAAATATTATCAACCCAACTTTCAAATTCCATGGGAAAATAAAATCGCTACGTATAAACAACAATTAAACAAATTTGTTTAGAATTACTGCTAGTTAAAATATCATAAATTATGTCTAAGTGAATATTATACAAAAAAAAAGACTTCCGAGTTTTTTTGTGATAAAATGGCGACTAGCGAAGGCGATAAACCGTGGATGTGGAATTATATCGAACGTATTCATCAACGTCGTCGCAAAATGGGACCAGCAAAATAAATGGCCTACGCGTGGTCATAAGCCGGCAAAAGAAGCGGAAAAACGAGGCAGTTACTCAAATCGTGTGTCGCTTAACGTTTGGCGGAGACGAAAAAAAAATTGAGGGACGCAACCTATACGTAATGGTCATAAGTTTTATCCAATCGCTACGGATATCGCGCCGTAGCCAACGAAATTGCATTACAAAAAAGAAATATTGCGGGAGGAATCTTAGGTCGATTACTTTTTCTTTTCCATGTAAATAATTGAGTTCCTCAATAGCGACTACGACGTTTTTATGTACGCGGATAACACGTTTCCAATCTTCCATATCAAAAGTTCCTAAGAAATATAACGTCATTTACCAGTTGTCCAAAAATCTCTCAACAACGTCGATTCATCAAAGACAAAATTCCATTCGACATTCCAGGAGTTCACAGCATTCCACGCATATACTTCAAAGAACATATCGGAAGCTCAAAGAACGTGAAAGAGCCTTAATCAGGATATTGGAGTACAATTATCCACAAACCACAAAAAATAAATGTTTGAGTAGGTATTTTGCCTTCGATCAAAATATTATCGCCTGATAAATACAATTTGTTGAAAATGACTTTATTCCTGACAGATAGACAGATTCACGATGGTGCTCCGATTGGGCTCGAAAAGTGCGTGAATATTTAAATACGGTACTTCCCTCACACTGGATTTGGTGGAAGGGGGTCAATAAATGACCTGCAAGATTTTCAGATATCATTCCACTGGACAAAAAATCCGAGAATCTATAGAAATCGCGACTTAGGTCTGGCTAAGTATTACCTATTTATTTATAAATATATTTCAATATAATTCAAGTTCATCAACTTTATGAGTAAACATATTTATTTCGTAAAATTATGAACAGAAATCAAAATTGAAAATAGAAGGAAAAGACAAAAATAAAAGTAAATTAAATTTACTAATTTAATTTAGGAACTGAATTAATTAAACTCGGCAGAATTTAATTTTTATTTGTTATTTGTTTTATTCCAGTTGGTTAGTGTGATTAATATTATTATTTATTAATTTATTGTATCTGTGTAGTAAACAAATAAGTTTACATTCAATTAAATAAGATAAGCGAATAGTTTTCCGAAATTTGTAGCGATCGACTTCATATTTGGCACATATATGCAGCTTTGCCCCGTGACGGAACCTATTCAAAATTGGGGGGCTGGGCGTCGGGAAGTATTCTAAAAAATTAAAAATCGCGTATGCAAGGGTCTACAAAAAAGACCATTTTTCAGAAACGGTTGACAACACCGAAAAAATTCTTGAACCAGAAGACACAGAAGAAACGACTCCATAAACTTTTGTTCTTGACAATTTTTCAAAAATATACAGGGTGCGCCGCAAATTCAAAAAAACGGAAAAATGGGTCCTCCTACAATTGAAAATTAGCAATAATTTGAAATCTGTGTTTTAGATGTCAGGTTCTTTTATATAACGATATGGTTTCAGATCCTAAAGGTGACAGTCGAATTTGAAACACCCGGTATATAAGATACAAAAAAATCAATTTTTTTAAATAGCCCAGAACGAAAAAAATAAATTAAATTCTGCTCCATTGAAAAGCCAAAGTATCCCCTTTTTTCCCACTTGCGCAATTTGGAATAAATGTGGACCCCCCAACCCCTGAAACGGATTTCAGCTCCATCCATTTTCGACAAGGTCTTCCAATTTCCGTCATTCGCCCCATTAAAATGCACGAAGGCTTTCCTTTTCAAAATTTTTTATTGTCGCAGAGTGTTTTTTGCCCGACAATGCGATTTTTAGACAACCAGTAACTAAAAGTGGGACAGATTCGATATAAAAAAATGGAGAATTTACGGCCATCGTAAAACTAAACTTTTTTTCTTAAGAAAAACACGAAAATATTCTTATTTTTCGTTATATTTTTTTCTTGATAACATTTTAATTGGCTGTACCTTTTTTGTTTTTAAATATATCAAGGTAAACAAAAAGCAAAAAGTAGGGTTAGTAGCCAAGTTTTTTCCAAGTGACGTATAAAACAAAACACTATCAATTTTCTGACGTATAATAATATGTCATGTTTTTTTTTAATTTAACACCCGGTATATTATATATGTGTTTAATAAGATATCTTATTCCGATTACAATGATGCAACACACTTTATATACGAACAATTTAAAACAACTACATACATAGGAGAATCCAGTGAAAAAGTTTCAAAACATTTGTCAAAATGTTTAAAAATAGCTTTCAGAACTAAGAACACAATAGGAAAATGTCAAAAATCAAAAAAATCAGGTGTCTACAGGTTGAAATGCGGATCTTGTCCTAAAATTTATAATGGACAAGCAGGTAGATCCTTGAAGAAACGCAATAGTCTAGATTCTAATTATACTACACACTTAAACACAGAAAAACACATTTTTGACGACAATTTTGGTATTTTACATACAGCCACAAAAAGTAGAAAATTAAATTTATTGGAAGTCATGGAGATTAACAAAATGAGATATTCAAATGTATTGCTTAACGATCAATTAGATTTAAATACCTCTCCCTTACTGAACTTAAATCCTAACAAAAACATTAATTAAGTTTTTATTGTCATTTTTCGATATATACAGTAAATATTATATTTGATAAAGACACGGTGTTGTCGACTCAATTGTAATGTAAAAACATATAATTTCGTGAAAATCTGAACTTTAACTTCTTATTTATTTTGATAATTGGATTTTCATCAAGTAAAAACCACGTCAATTTAACTTCTTGTAATAATCGTGGAACTTCGGCAATGGATGTCAGAGGCAATCAATCGGTTGTTCCGTTTAAAAAAATATGATGTAGGCTTATATGTCAGAAAATTGATAATGTTTTGTTTTATACGTCACTTGGAAAAAAACTTGGCTACTAACTCTACATTGTATTTTTTTGTTTACCATGATATCTCTATAAACAAGTTGCAGTCAATTAAAATGTTATCAAGATTAATTGAACGCAGCTGCGGCCCAAATTTTTACTCCTTCACTCCTCACCTGACACTTTTTTTGGTCTTTGCCGCATTTGGTGTGCATGTTGGTATGGTTGCCAGTCATATTTAGACACCTGTCACCATCAACCATAGAATCGCACCGATAACACCACAGATCATGTTGCTTCTCGCTGGCTGCCTTCGTGCGATGTTGCGTCTCACTGGAGTCTGAAAAGCGAGATTTCTTCAAAAATTTAAAAGAAAATGTATTAATATTATTTTTGCAAATTTTATCCTCCCCTTAAACAGGGTGATTCTTTGCATAAAATAAAATTAATGTAACAACACCATAATAATTTTTTTTTATTTTGGGAGCATTTAGTTTTACGAAAAAAATCCATTGAAACGCAAAAATGTTTTTCCAATGTCATTGCGTAAGTTTTCCTATAAATTTTTGTCAAAAAGATTGGCAAAATATTAAGGAGTGTGATAATTTAAATGCTTTTAAAAGATTAATTAAAACTTACGTATTGTATGAAATTTTATTCTGATTTTTCCTTTATAACTGTTCTGCTATTATAGACTCTTGTTCGGTGTACTTTTCTACTTTTATACTTATTTAAATTTTGCTTTTTTGCTACTGGTCCAAACCTTACTTTCAGAGATTTTCCCTTCTTTTTTACTTACACAGAATTTCGTTAAAAATTGTTAAGAGTAAGGTTTTTCGTTTATCAAGAATCGTCTATTATTTATCTGGTTGTTAAGATGTTATGTCATCTCATTAAAACTGTAAAAGTAAAAAAGAAGAGTCTTTTTTCTCAAGGCCACTAGTTGGAAACTAGAAATTAGATATTTGGTTTCAGGTAGATATCTAATTTTCCACAAAAAAAACCTTCCAGTGCAGTGCCGACCTAATCCACCAAAATATTATTTGTTCGTAAAGGCACGCCACTGATTTCCTTAAAGAAAATAAAGACATTTGTATTCATTAATTTTTTTTCCCACGGTTTTCACGTAAAAATGAAAACTAATTCCTCTGCATGTTGTCATATTGACGATATTATTTGTTAATAAGAAATTAAATTTCTCGAGAAATTATTGGAGATTGTAGGAATAATTTTTATTTTAAGAGAAATCTGTGGCGTGCCATCAATGTCTGAAAAAATAGACAGGTGAAAATTCGTATGTCCGCCACTGGTGTATTTAAAAAATATATATGCAAAATTTCATCAAAATATCTTAACCCTACCCTGTATCTCAAAAGTTAAGATGCTTAGGACATATGTTCATTTGAAGTTTTCTTTTTAATATGAACCCTTAAATAACAAATAAGCGCAGAGTCTGAAAGTTAAAGACGCAAAGGCTTGGGAATAAAAAATTAAAACCGACCAGAACGTTTTGCTGCTACGCGACTATACGGTTCAACGCCGTAAATTTTCTGCTTATACGAGGCTCGCGCAAAAAAAAAACGAAGCCCATTCCATTCCGAAAAATCAAAACGCGTCTGGCGGCCGGGATATCGTCGCTGAACTTCATCTTCGTACGAAAAAAAGCGATTGCCTGTCGAAGGAGCGACGTCATAGGCGGCTGTGCAACGGCGATTTCTTTAAGCGGACGCTACGGATCGCGTTGCCATGGAGACGGATGATATCGATTACGCCGCGGGCAACTGCAAAGGTTTGAATACCGACGGAGTCACTGGACCGTACCGTCGAACGATGTATCTAAATTTAAAGCGTGACGTCACGAATTGCGTCGCAACGCCGCTACCGATGGTGATTTTCCGGAACTATGAAGTTCGCAATAGTCCGGCGCGATTATTATTAGGACGCAACGGTTTCGTGTCAGTTGGAGAGTAGTGGAGGGTGGGCAAAGGAGGCCCACCTCAAAAATTTACGTTTTTTTTTTCTTCTAATAATTATAAATTCTGGTTATTTGTACATTTTTAGCCCTTTGCGTAATGCCACGGGTAAAATGGGCCGGTTAAAAATTATTTAAAAAAGCTATGCCATATTATTACAACCGAATCATAACTAATTTATTGAAAGTGCTATTTTTTCGATAATTCCATGGACGAAAATCTTAAAAATACCAACAACAAATTTTTTAATCTAGAGAAAAATAGTTATAATCAAAAACGATTTTTTTATTGAATACTTTTTAATAAATAATTATAAGTAACTCATTCAAAAGGTATGGAAAGGTATGGAAAAGAAAAAGAAACCACCAGTCCAGCAAAAAAAATACTCATCATCCCATATGTCAGAAGAAATTTTATTATTTTCACTCATATGTAGGAGGCGTGTTCAAAAAGCAAGGTGACTTTTAAGTTTTATCAAAATTATTTATTTTTAAATCAAAACCAAAATCCCCCAGATACAACACACTTCTGCCATAGCTTTGATTTTTTCCAGCGTTTTTTTCTTTATCTCCTCAATCATTCCAAACCTCCTTCGTTTCATGGGTTTCTTGAGTTTTCGGAATAGGAAAAGTGGAGCGGGTCCGGTGAATATGGTGTCTGAGGCATGATTGTGGTTTTGTTTCTGGCCAAAAAGTTAGACACAAGCAAAGATGAGTGAGCAGGTGCATTATTGGACGTTTTTCTCCAATTGCATCTCGCAAACGGTGCATAACTTCAAGGTAATACTTTTTATTGACCGTAGGACCTTGTGGTAAGAATTCTTGGTGTACTACGTGACGATAGTCAAAGAAAACGGTAAGCAAAACCTCGACATTTCATCGAATTTGACGTGCATTTCCGTCTTGGCGATTCTGGTTCTTCCACTGTAACGACTGAGCTTTGGTTTCGGCACCATATCCCATGATTCTTTGTTCCATGTTTTTTTTTTTTGACAGCAGAGCAGCAGATGTGTACCAAGATACCAAAGGTCACTTTACTTTTTGAACACCCCTCGTATATACCAGTCGCCTCAGGAACTGCTGAGCAATGTAAACACTTAAATTTATTCATTTAGTTGTGCAGGAATTACATTCTCAAAAAAAATATTTGAAAATCCAGTCTAGACAAGATATTCCAGACGCGATCGGCGAGCATTCTCATGCATATTCCTTATACATTTTCTAAGGTCGTTTATAAATAGAATATTCAAATCTTCCGGAAATTCTCCTGGAACGTTTAATGCTGTCTATAGGATCGAGGTCCTCGATTCGCAAAGAAAATTTTATATTTTCCGGAAAATCAAATCGCCTACGAATTTGATTGAGACGAAATTGAAAACGGACAATTTGTATACGTATACGTGGCCGTATTATGTCGATGCTTCTCGAACGATCCAGATCCAGATCGTTGATCCGCGAAAAGCCTAAAATTTAAAATCAAAATAAACATAACAATGATTATGATCATCTTTATTTCAAAATATTCAAAAATTTATAAATAGTAAATATTATGTTTGATAAACTCTCTTTTAGAAAAAGAAGAAGAATTTTATCAAAGTGTGTTTTATGCTCCAGTTTTTCTACGGCCATTAGTGACTGAGTGATGTGTGACGTCACCGTTACAACCTGAATTTTTAGAGTGACACTTTTAATTATTGGATAAAACTCCAACTTCAGTTGGAATCTCCTTAAAACAGTTTCGAATTATCTTTGTTCTTTAAATCTTAACAAAACCAAAATACATAGCGATTCTTATTCTAAATAAACATTCAGCAATACAAAACACGAAATGACGTGAAATTAGAGAGATAAGACCAATCGTTGATCATTGCCGATTACCAGTTATTGATATAAAGTAAGGCACAGAAGCAGTAACACTCACTACTAAACTAATAGTAGATTAAAGACCTAGCTATACTGGGAGTAACAATAAGGAATAAGATAAAAAATGAAGATATATGTAATAGGACAAGAACCAGAGATACCATATCTAGAATATCTGAAACATAATGACACTTGGGTTGGCCAAAATGAACGGTTACAGATGGACCAGCTGATTTATTGAATGTGCGCCCAGAGCAGACCAAAGAGGCAGGGGAAGACTGCCATACGATAGCAGATTGACGTGAGAAGTATTATGAGCAGTTGGATTCAAAAATGGAACTACCTATCGAAAAAAAAAGATAACGCCATTAGAACGACAACATATAGAAGTAAAAATTAACTTGAAGCGATTGTCCATTTCAAGAGTTACGTCAGCAATTGCCTTTTAGAACACATCGACAGGTTCAAACATTACCTGAAAGAAAATCAAACAAAATGATTTTAATATTTTTCGAATTTTCGAAAGTCCTACGGGATCGCCGTTGGTACAGAAATGATCACCGTCGAAAAAAAAAAATTTTTTTGTCTGTCCGTTCTCCGTTCTCGTCTTTTGGGTTTTCCTGAATAACTTTCGAACCGTTGGAGCTACAAAATTGAAATGTGTCTCCTTTTTAACCCTACACGAGGCACATAAACTTATAAAAAATGGCTCTGATCCGACACCGGTATCCATCTTTTTTTCGTGATTTTCGACTGACCTTGCTATGAAACACGTTAAGTGTCTGAAATTTAAAACAATCGACTTCATATTTGGCACATATATTCAGCTTTGTCCCGTGACCGAACCTATTGCAAATGGGGGGCTAGGGTTCAGGAAGTATTTAAAAAAAAAATAAAAATCCCGTGTGTGTATACAAAAAAGACCATTTTTCAAAAAAAATTTACATGACCGGAAAAATTCTTGAACCAGAAGACGCAGAGGAAACGACTCCATAAACGTTTATTCTTGACAATTTTTCAAAAATATACAGGGTGCGCCGCAAATTCAAAAAAAGTGAAAAATGTGTCCCCCTATTACTGAAAATTGGCAATAATTTCAAATCTGTGTATTAGATGTCAGTTTTTTTTTTACATCACGATATAGCCCCTATAGACTTTTGTATTTAGGGTTTTTAAGTATTGTACAGGGTGTTCGCGATATTCCGTGCAATATTAAAAAACATAAGTGCTCCAAATTTGCCGCTACTGACTTCAGACTTGGGAGAGAAGTTGAAGTCTGGACCCGCATTATAACTTTGGCATTTTTTCGATTACATAGAAGGTGTTTGAGTTATAGACAAAAATCTAAAAGACCCTAAAAATTTTTCTTTTTGAGAATAAGTTACTAACCGTAAATCAAAATTCTTACAAACAATAGCTAATCCGTTTACGCAGTATATAGGCCGTACCAAGGGCTACAATTTTTGTATTTACGGTTTTCGTCAATCACTATTTCTCGATCTCAATCTAGACGCGATGACGTCATTTAATATTACTACGTATTGCATGCTTTCAGAATACAAGTAGTTTTTTGAAAACCATTTAGTCCATTGGAAAAATTCCGATACCAGGAAACTCAGAAGATCCAGGGCTATATCCTCTATTTCGAACATTGTTGGAATTATATACAGGGTACGTCGTTTATGGGCAAAAATTTCTTATAGATCCTAAAAATTTCCGCTTTTGTGGGTGAATTATTGGCGATACACGAAAAAGTTTTAAGAATGTGATAATTTGATATTAACAGTATCGTAAACTGTGTCGAGAGAGAGTTTACGGTTTCGTGTATAATACAGGAGTCGCAAGATATTTGAAAAATTATAATTTTGAATTGCCATTACCAGTAAAAATTTTAATATTTACCGAAGTGTGCCGTAACCTTAAAGTTCGACGAGATGTGAAGGACACTTTATGCAAGGTGTTTTCACAATCAAATTACATCGATTTTGTTAAAGTTCCATAGTGGTCCGCAGGAGCACGATGGAAAAACAATGCGTCCCTCTAGGACAACAATCCGCGAAGCGCCTTCTTTTGAAAATAAAAAGGTGATTCGCGCTATTTGCTACGAACTTGCCCCGCTCACCGGCGATTTTTCCAAAGCAATCTTGTTCCTCTTACGAGCTACGCATTTTTTCATCAAACGCTGCATATGAAAACATCCAGTACTTCAAAAATTAAAAGTTGTCAGTAGAACATTGAAAATGAAAACTAACCAAAACTAACCCGAAAGCATGCTAAAGTTGTACGCTTGTTTGGACGGCACCGAACGCGTCTTTTTAATACATCCAAAAAATGCTCAACTGGACTTAGATCTGGGCTGCAAGCTAACCATTCTAACGTTCGAATTCCAACTAGAAATAAAACGAAATCTAAAATAAGCCTGCTATTAAAGTCAATCAGTTAGAAATTTTCAACAGTTACCATCTTCCATTATACAAAAGTCCTGGTTGTTCATATTAATTATTCGGTTAAACAATTCAACTTCGGTTATAATTTAAGAGGTTGCTTTTCTCACACTCGCGTACCCATCCATAAAATTTCCCCCCTTCTTTTGCAGAATAAAGAGAACATTCACGAAAATTCAAATTTTCCCGCCAAAAGAGGCTTAGAACCGGCACTACTATACTACTAGCCCGCTCGTCCTCATCTGGCGATCGAAGACAAATTCTTGATTTATGTCGTTCATTTATTTATAATGTAACTATTTGTACTATTTCTACAGGGTGTTTTAAACTTATCAATTTGACTTCCCTGATATCTAAACATTAAAGAAACCAAAATATCATCAGAAGAAACTGCATCGCCCAAATACATGGTAAAAAATAAAAAATGCCATATTAAGTGCAAAAAGTAGCTCTTTTTAGAATATTTTTACTATTAAATCTGCAATAAAAAAATAGGTTAGTAGCAAAATAAGTTATCATAAATGAATTATACTTTCTGAACATTTTAGAGTCCGATTTAAAAATGAAAAACACTTCGTAAAATTCGGATATGTTATATATTTCTTTAATTTCTACCCAAAATGAAGACGTCCATGACCCCGCGTGTGCGCTTTCATCAAACAACATCGTGCGGACTTGAAGGAAACTCAAAAACTACTTACGAAGAGCTCCGGTGACGGCGGGCGTCAGCAGCGGCACCAAAACCACCAAAACCAGCACCGCCATCGTGCAGGAGTATTTTGCGTTTCACGAAACGCCGTCAAAAGATTTCCAGGGGTCCGCCATCATCACGCGAAACTCCTGAAACGCGCAAGCGGACTGGTTTTATCTCTACGCAGGCTTCCGTCTCCATGACGACGGGACATATCGGTAGAATTCGTTCCCGATGCACCCGGTTAGACGACAAGGCGGCAATCAATTCATTTTGTTTCTTCAACTCCTTCTAAACGCGCGTATCATTTCAGTGGCCGTACGGCCCTTGTATGGGGTGGACCGTTTATCTCGGGACACCACCTTATCTCAGAAACTATAAGGGATGGAGCCAAAAGGTCAATAGAAAAGTTAATTGAGATATTATAAACCTTTAATTAATTTCGATGTTGCATATATAGAGGCTATTTATTTTTTCGTGGGCGAATATCAACTTTCTTATTTTAAATGGAACACCTGGTATATTATTTTTTTTGGTTTTGGTCTTACAATTGTGGCAAGTCATAAATACAATACGTAAAAAAAATATGTATATATTTTTTTCGCGATTTTCGACTGTTTTTTGGACCTTGCTATGAAACACGATATGTGTCCCAAATTTGAAGCAAACGACTATTGAAAATGGGGGCTGGGCGATAGGGAAGTATTTTAAAAAAATTAAAAATCGCGTGTGCAAGGGTCTACAAACAAGACCATTTTTTAAAAACCGTAAACAAGACCGAAAAAATTCTTAAACCAGAAGACGCAGAGGATATGGCCCCATAAACTTTTATTCTTGACAATTTTTCAAAAATATACAGGGTGCGCCGCAAATTCAAAAAAACTGAAAAATGGGTCCCTCTATTATTGAAAATTGACAATAATTTAAAATCTGCGTTTTAGATGTCAGTTTCTTTTACATGACGACATAGCCCATGGAGACAGTTAAAAATTTTGTGTTTAAGATTTTTAAGTATTGTACAGGGTGTTCGTAATATTCCGGGCAATATTAAAAAACGTAATAAGGGCGCCAAAAGCTACAGCTACCGACTTCAGACTTGGGAGAGAAGTGGACTCTTTAAACTGGGAGCAATAAAATAACGCGAAGTGTTTTTTTTTTGGTTATTTTGGCATCAAGAAAAACATCTTTTCCTCCAAAACCATTCATCAGATCGGAAAAATTTTTCAACCGTAATACGTTGGAGATCCTACGCTATACCTTTTGTTGCACGCGTTTTTTCGATTACACACAAGGTGTTTTAGTTATGCACCAAAAAAAATCTAAAAATCCCTGAAAATTGTTCTTTTAGAGATTAAATTATTAACCGTTAATCAAAATTCCTGCAAAAAATAGCTAATCCGTTCAAACAGTGTTATAGACAAAGGCTACAATTTTTCGAGATATTTGAAAAAACTCCAAATGAAAATCACCATTTCTCGCCCTCAATCAAGACGCGATGACGTCATTTACTAGGGCTATATCCTTTATTGCGAACATTATTGGAATTATATACATGGTACGACGTTTGTGGGCAAAAAATTTTTAATGATGTGATAATTTGTAATGAACGGTATCGTAAACTGTGCCGAAAAAGAGTTTAAGGTTTCGTCTATAATACAGGGGGCGCGAGATATTTGAAGGTGTATTCACAATAAAATGACATCGTTTTTGCGAAAGTTCCATAGTGGTCCGTAGGAGTACGATAGAAAAACAATGCGTCCCTCTAGGGCAAGAATAAGCGAAGCGCCTTCTTCTTTTTAAAATAAAAAGCTGATTTGCGCTACTTGTTACTCCAGTAATGGTAAGTAATATGGATCAAGTAATGCATCTTTTAAAATCCATTTTCGCATTATATTTCGCCTATAGCTATCTCTTTCTATTAGCAAAAGAATAGAAAACATAACGTAGAAACGTAACCAGAACCAGCAAAAATTCGTAAATTGATAAAATTGCATTTCAATGGTGGATGTTCCACCTTAGGCGATTCTGGCTTTCATCTCAGCTTCGCATGTTCTATCTTTTCTTATTGTAACTCCGAGGTATCTGTACGCTTTGTTGTTTTTGACAGTTGCGTATTCCTAGTCTCTTTTGCGTTTCTTCCAAACTACAACACATTCTTGTTTTCACCTGATCATCCACAAAATGGAGGGTAAAAAGAATATCAACATTTACTCCGATTCAATTCAAAAATCTAGAGCTAAGCAGTCCGCAGGATACTCTCATGGAGCCCCTTAGTTTCCTGCATTTTATACAGCAATGTTATCGAACTAAATTATTCTGCCTTAACTGAATGGTGCAAAAATCAAATAATCATTAGTAACGCAGTTAGTTTGGAAAGCTTCATCAAATTGTTTTTCTTTTATTTGGAGATCAAGAAGACTAGCAAATTTCTACGCTTCCTTGGTGCGGGCATATTGAAATAAACTCCATCACTAGGCACAATATTTACCCGCAGTCGTCTTCAAGAGAAGTCAAAAATATATGCCTATTAAGTATTTAAAAAAATACATTTTAATCTAACAATTCATTTTGCTCTACATGCCATTAAATGAAAATGATTTCGTTCTCACGCGAACAAATATAACATATAAGATGAAACCAAAAGTATATTTGTATTTGCGTCGTATAGGGCACTGTTTTTTTTTGCACTTGTTAGATATGGAAAACAGTTTCCGAGAATCAGTCGCCAAGGTAGCCTCAAAGGGTCTTGCTCCAAATATGCATCTTAGTTTTCCACAAAGGAGCATTGTGTTGCGGATATGCTTCGCTTTGAAGTAGCAACTCTTGTTTGTCGACTTCGAGATATCCCCCCGGTAAAAACGAAATGCTCGTGGCTATTATGTGTAGTTCGCTAAGCAGTTCGACTTACCCTTGTTTTCAAAATTCTAACGCTAGTTAATAATGGTAACGGATTGATACTTAAATTAATTAAGAAACCCTCAATCCGTATAAGTCCTCAAAACCTTTATTGCATCACTGAACGGTGTGGGCGGCCATAACTGTTGGATTATAAAAAAAAAGAAATCATTAGTTTGATAAGAAGATGCGCGATATTTATTTTTTAATAATTTTTATTTTTATCCAAAGCAATGTAAAATCAATTTTTACATAGGACCTCCTGTATATTTATAAATTATTGGACTTTGCACTTAGAATCGGTAGGCTTCGAAACGAACAGGTAACAAATGAAGAAGACACGAGTAAAGACAATTTTTTTTTTAGTTCTTCTCAGTGCACTACAAACATACAATGTGTATTGTATAAAAAATGGATTTTTCAGTTGATAATTAACAGAGATTTTTTAAAAATGAACGTGTTTGGAAAACAGCCTATAACTCTAAGACGATACTAGCTCCCCACGCAAGGCTTTTTCCGTTATGTTTTTTGTGAAAATAGTTTTCGTCTAGGCAACTAGCTGAATGCATTTGATTTCTGAATTACTATATTGCCTTCCAAAGCTTACTACAAGAAGACACGACAATAATACCAAGTGTACTAAATTTTTGGAAACGTTTTGGGAAAGTTATTCTCAGTGCACTAAAAATATACAGTGTGCATTTTATAAAAAAATGATTTTTGAGTTGATAACTCACAGAGATGTTTTAAAAATGCACGTGTTTGGAAAAGAGCCTATAGCCCTAAAAGGATACTAGCTGTCCATGTCCGTTTTTGGCCCTTATATTCTTTGTGAATATCGTTTTTGCCTAGGCAACAGGTTGAACGCATTTGTTTTCTGACTTATGACAGCACCTTCAAAAACCTAATACAAAAAGACACGACCAAGTGTGCTATATTTTTGGAAAGGTTTTGGAAAAGTTCTTCTCAGTGCACTAAAAATATACAGTGTATATTGTATAAAAAATTAATGTCTCAGTATGATAACTTGCATTAGAAAAGCCGCCTATAACTCTAAATAGCGGAGTTTTCCCTTTAAAAGTGTCCAATTTGGCCCGACCTTTACCGCCGATACTTTCCTGTACTTCTAATACAATGAAGTCTTCAATTGGTAATTTGCTATTTTCAACCAAGCTGACTATTTTTCGTCGCACGCGTATAACGCATACAGTGTTGCCATGTGGTCGGTCCTTGAACAACGACGTACGTAACCAAACCGACATTTAATACGCCGCGTTTAGCAATGTCGCGAATCATATCCCGTAGGGAAAACGGGATAGCTTTTTTCGCTCGCCGCGACTGCTTCGTCGTAGTCCTAGCCAGTATCCCGACGGTGTGGCGGCCATCGCTGTTGTCTGATCCGCGAGTTCGAGCTTTTTGCAGCTTCTCCTCGCTTATTGTGAGCTTGTTGCTTGCCAGTGGCCGATAGCGTGCTTTTAGTTTTACACCGTTAGTCGAGCTGTCGGATTAAACCGTATGATACAAGGTAGGTTTACAATTTCCACTTGAGTATTTTTTTTTCACTCCCTACCGATCGAAGTTTTGATTATTAATTACGTCGCGATGATGGTGATTTTTTTTCAAATTTTATCATTGCGTATTAAAACGAGATAGTAATTAAATGATGACTATCGTAACCTGTAAGATTGTGAAATGTGTTATTTCTTGCAGATATTTCGGATAATGAGTGAAAACGTTTAGGGCTCGATTTTTCACAAAAAAATTGTGCATGTCTTAGAAGAATTCATAACTTTTTTGTTTCTACATTTTTCTAATTTTTTGTAAGTACTGATAATAATTAGTTTTCGATATACAACAAAAGCTGCTTTGTTTATTAATTTTTATTCTTCATGAAATTCCGTTTAAAATGACTTATCGCAATGTTTTCTCTTTTATTTTTTGAAATATTTACAGTTCTAACGAATTACCACAGCAGGCGGTTCGTCGTCAAAAGTCAAGTAAAAGAAGTCTGTTTTACAGTCCCTGAAATCAAATGGAGGGTCGATCTATTGGCCTCCCAGATCGGCCGATCTAATAGCTTTCCATGTTTTCTTCATTTAAATGTTAATAAAATAATTATCATTCATTTATTTAGGTTTTCAAGAAAATGGTAGCCAACTTAAGCAACGAATTCGAAATTATTACCAATTAAATCTGACCTATTTTCGAAAAGTTCTTTTATAAAATACAATGCCATCCAGATCAAATAATGCTAACTACTTCGGACATTTCCGGGATTTTACCGCACATCTTGAATTTTGACAGTGAATGTGTTCGTCTTGTTTTGCAAAAACTTACGAACGTATTAAAAGTATAGTATGCAACACGTTCGGTAAACTTTTAACTAGTGACTGAAATGAAGTTTACCATAATATACAATAAAATATATGCACGAAATCATAATGTATTATGGTAATTTTCAAAACAAAAGTATCTCAGAACCTAGAAATTAAAGCATTGCTTCTATCATAACATTTTAATGGAAAACTTATAAACTATAATAATACATAACACAAAACCGTCTATTCTATAAAAAATACCAAATTTCTGTCATATTTCTAAAACTAATTCTCATTTGACGCACTTTTGATGATCACCGACTAGCTCAGAAACGGAATGTCGTATGAGGATGAGGATTTTTCGATATTTATACGAAGACTATAGTAACTTATGTTTGACGGTTTTCGAGATACAAAAAAATTCTTTGTAGCAAACTATGCCTACACTGGTAGACTCTAAAAACCAAAATTGTGATATCTGGTGTAATAGAAAAAACATTAATGAATGATAATAAAGCAAACACACACGTCACCAATGAATCCGGTTGCTTCGTATTGCAATTTTGAAATTTAAGGCATTGGTTAATAATATTGGCTCTGAAAATGTAAAATAAACAAACCAACAGCGTTGATGATTCAATTCATGAAACATGATTTTGTTAAAATCTTTATTTTCATTTTAATTTTAAAAAATCGGAAAACAAGAGATAAAATGACATAAATGTTGAAAATTTTAGTTTTATTTCAAAAAATTAACAAACATTGAAGTAAATTGAGAAAGAAATATTAAAAACTTATACTATATTTCCATAAAACGCCTTTTATTAGCTTTTCTTTTATAACTCTTCTTTGGACAATCTCTTTTTAAAGGCGAGCAGTAATCTGCCATCATGTGACAATCCAAGCTACCCTGATACCGTTCTTCCATCACTTTTAGATCCTGGTGGAACCGCTCTCCCTGTTCTTCACTATAATTCCCTAAATTATCCATGAATTTATCTAGATGATTGCGAAGATAGTGTAACTAGTGTAGTGAATATCAAAGTCTAATCCAGAACGTTCTCCTTTTTTCCATAACCGTAAACTCAACGCGTAACTTACAAACAGTACTACATTTATACTTTCTTCTTGACGAACTCATATTTTAAAAGACAAATGTATATTTAAATATATATTCAGTAATTGAAACGAAATATTAACTCATAAGAACTTATTTAGATTCACGTGTAGGTACTTCGTATTGTAGAATAACTGAGATCTCTGAGGAGCAAAGAGTGGGAATCGCTAAGAGTAGTGATCACGTGATGTTTGTATGCGCGAAAAAGTTATGCAGAAGCCTAATCATGACTGATAAAATCGATTTTTATTATAAAAAGCTGATTATTGTTCAAATATATAAGATTCGTGAAAATCATAAGAATAAGAGCACATCCAGTGCTCTCATATATACTCGTGATCTGGACACTTGAAAACATAAACATTTTCAAAGGTATCCAGGGCAACAAAAAAAAATCTTTATTTGTAGAGCTCCGTAGTCAGTTAATCTCAATCCTATACAAAAAAAATATATAAAATTGATCAATTGTAAAACTTGCAAAAGAAATGTAAAAATAATTGATCGTTAAGTGAATAAAATTATAAACTAATAAAACTGAGGCGGCTAAAAGCAGTCATCTGCAGGCGACCACCCGCGGCAATCGTGCGACAAAAACGAAAGTAAAAAATTAAATTTCAAAAAGCGTTTTAATTTTCCGCGAGCTTTTAATTGAACATGAAAGCGCGTCCACGGCACTTTAACGACGTCGAAGACGCCTCCCACTAAATTTCTACATTTTAACGGTCCTTAGAAGCTCATTAAAGACATTGAGCGTTTCGTATAATCTTCTAGACTATAACGACCGTCTTTCTACAACGGAGATTTAGCAGTAAACGGATAGCGACAGTGCAGCGTATCCCGCGGGAGAATGTCATTTCCCGATCGGCGTTTTTCGCCGGCATTAATGGAAAAAGCTAAATGCAACACGGGAGGACTTTTAAAATTAATTACAAAAGGATTATCTTTAAAGTAGGGCTAGAAGTAGCGAAAAAAAATATTACTTGTTAAATATTGCCCACACAGGCATCGTCAGACCTACAAAAGTCATTTTTTTTAATAATAAAATAACTTACAGACTGTCTCGATCATCTTCACGTTGGCTTTCGACGGCCTTTGCGAAATAAAACTTAAAAATTAACATAAAATTGATTCTTACGTGAGTGACAAGGCAGGTATATTTCTTTCTTTGATATATTTATTGATTATTGACCATTTGTGCCAGTGTTTCGAAAAAGTAATTTTACGAGAATATAACAAAGTCGTTTGATATAAAACAGGTTGTGAAAAATGCGTGTTTAACTTTAATCAGTAGAGGACTTTTTAAATAAGATTGCTTTCGAAAACTCGTCACTAGACGGGGCAAGCAACTTTTTATCATGAAAGGACAGAGCTCGCAAAATCGATGTAATTTAATTGCGCATGCACCCTGTATCACATCTCGTCGTCAAAGTTACAGCAAACAACGGTAAATATTAAAATTTGCACAAATAATAGCGTTGTCTCTCTCTCGACGCAGTTTACGATAATGATCAAATAAAATTATCCCACCTTTAACAGTTTTTCATTTATGGCCAATAATTAACCCACAAAAACGGAAATTTCTAGGATCTTGTAGAGTTTTTCCAATAAACGACACACCCTGTATATGATTCAGAACAATGTTCGAAGTAGAGGTTATAGCCCTGGATCTTCCCGGTCCAAAAATTTTTTAAAAATGGTTTTCGAGAAAATAAGTTTTTTCTGGAACATGTACATAATGTACATGCTGTACATAAATATCTTATGTTCCTATATGTTTTGCTTGTATATGAATTTTGGTAAATCGATATGTGTTCATAATTCTGACGAAATACAATTTCGCGCAAATTTCGAAAACCGATCGTTTCAGCTATCGCGGACGACCTCTGTGCGACTCTGTAAACTATACTTGCTTTGTATGACAAATTGCGTTACCGTCGAATTTGTAGTGGGCGCAGCATAATCAGATCGAAGAACAATGAAAAATTACCCTTGTCGTGCGGCAGCTTTGGGACGCTCTAGCGAGCGTATTTTATTGCGTTTTTGATTATATGCCATTTAGGAACGTTATTTTTTAAAAATTATGTCTTTTAAATGACGGCCATTATTGTCGATGCGATGTCGGATCATTTCTTGGGGAATTGAGGCAATTTCTTGTCTTAAAGCTACCTTTAATTCTTCCAAAGTCCGCGGACGATGTGTGAAAACTCTCGCTTTCAGGCAACCCCAAAGAAAAAAGTCGCAAGGCGACAAATCAGGCGAACGTGGCGGCGAGCCAAGATCACCCCGTAAAGACACCACTTTGTTTAGGAACATTTCTTGATGAAGATTTAGTGAACGACGCGTTGTGTGCAATGCAGCACCATCCTGCTGGAACCAAAGATGTTCTCTTTGATCGTCGTTCAACTCGTTCACTTTTGGACGCAGGAAATTGTTAAGCACGTCAAAATATCGATCTCCGTTGACTGTTAACATCTTCTTCGAAAAAGGACCTCACACGCCGAGATTGCACACTTTTGGACTTCTGGACTGTGGACTATTTGCTTACCAATAACGGAAATTTTGCTTATTTACGGTACCCGAGAGGTGAAAGTGAGCTTCATCGCTAGACATGAATACAACGCCTCTGGGAATGTTTTGAAGAATATCTCGGTATAAATTTGTACGGGTTTAAAAATCTCTTGCGCTTAATTCCTGCACTACCATTGCATTCGGAGTGAGTTGTGTAAAATTCTTCGAACACTTCTATCGGGAATTCCCAAAGCAGCTGCATGCTTACGAGCTGAACGCCTTGGAGACTGTTGTGCGGAAACTCTTACTGCATTCACATTTTCCGGTGTTCTTATTGTCCTTGGTCGGCCAGTAGATTTTCGGTTAAGCGTTTTACAAACCGAACAACCACTATTTGAAATCCTGCCTACTTTTTTGCCGCACCCTGTAGTACACCAAGAGCTACAAGAAAAATTCGACTCAGACACAAAACAAGAACCATACTACGAATTCAAACCTGAGTCGGTTGTAAATAACGATCAATGCAAACTGTACTGGAACAGAGAGATCATCACGTATGTGCTAATACAAAACAATAGAAAC